GAGATGATTGCCTTGGATGGAGCTTTAGGTAAATAGGGGAAGGAAAAAGAAAAATATATGTTCCTATATGTTTCACGGTTTCTTTCACTGTCAGTGTCCCATCAGCTCCCACCCCGAGTTAACCAGGACTTTGTTGATCCAGTGCTTTACCTTATTCCTATCAAAATTCACTCATAAAACCTTTCCCCTATTACTGTACTACTTTGGTGAGGTCACTGAAGCTTTTGACAGTTGTAGCGGTATAAGCTTTCGCTCATGGGAATTAGGGGGCGTGCACAAAAATAAAATAACTTTACAATATTATTCCACAGGTGTCTCTGCACTAAGAGTTTATTTTCTTTTCTTTTTTCTTCTTTTTTTAAATATATTTTATTGATTTTGTACAGAGAGAAAGGGAGAGAGATAGAGAGTTAGAAACATCGATGAGAGAGTGTCATCGATCAGCTGCCTCTTGCACACCCCCTACTGGGGATGTGCCTGCAACCAAGGTACATGCCCTTGACCAGAATCGAACCCGGGACCCTTCAGTCCCCAAGCCGACGCTCTATCCATTGAGCAAAACTGGTTTCGGCTAAGAGTTTATTTTCTAGGGGCCTTTCTGTCTCATTGCTACTTCAATTCTTATGAAAAGGTAAGCCTAAGCCAGAGAAATAGTACGAAACATGTGCCTCAACCTATCCAGATCCTTGGAACACTTGGTGGACACGTTAGTAAGAGTGAAGAACCCGCCGAAACCGGTTTGGCTTAGTGGATGGAGCGTCGGCCTGCTGACTGAAAGGTCCCAGTTTCGATTCCGGTCAAGGGCATGTACCTTGGTTGCAGGCACATCCCCAGTAGGGGGTGTGCAAGAGGCAGCTGATCAATGTTTCTCTCTCATCTATGTTTCTAACTCTCTCTCCCTTCCTCTCTGTGAAAAATCAATAAAATATAAAATAAAGTAAAATAAAATAGTGAAGAACCCCTAAACGCATTGGGTCTTGTACATCCAACTGACAAAACAAATATGTCCTTGTGTGTATTCTACATTATGAAAAGAGGGCTGTTAGGTATGTCCTTGTGTACCCTAACCCTGTATTAAAAACAAGATCTGTAAAGCTCACAGACCAAGAAGTGGCTTCCCAGAAGGCAGATTAGAAGCATGAGACTTCCCTTTCCCTTCAACTAAGCACTGCAGATGTAAATGAAATTGTAAAATGATACTCTCTCCTTGCTAAGCCTGTCATTTTACAGTGGTAGGAGCCAATATAACGCTGATAAATGGTGCCACCTGGTGTCCTTACTTGTGTGCTACATTCCCAACAACGGCCATAAGAGTTGCCCTCTCTCTCTCCAGATCACTTTTGTGTCCACTAGTGGTTTCCTCACTCATGGTCAAGTGAAGTGGGTTTAGAGTATCATTCCCTGTCCAGCGCTACACTGATTTATCCCCTTAGAGAAAATGTTTCCCAAGTTACTCTCATCTATAGGTGAAGTTACAAAGGCATACTCAAGCTCCACTTTTCAATGTCTAAGATTATCTAGCTGAAAAGCAACCGAGTACAGTGTAGGTTCAGATATTTCTAGTTTAGGGCCAAAAACCACATTTATTTTTAATTCCTCACAATTTAGTCCAACCTTTATTGTCTAGGTAGGTTCCAGGCAGCCTTTGAAGTGCCAATATATGAATAGGCTAGGCTGTTCTCAAGCTTCATGAGTTCCTCAGAAAATAATAGTCCCAGCCAAAACCGGTTTGGCTCAGTGGATAGAGCATTAGCCTGTGGACTGAAAGGTCCCAGGTTCAATTCCGGTCAAGGCACATACCTTAGTTACACATCCCCAGTAGAGGGCTTGCAGGAGGCATCTGATCAATGTTTCTCTCTCATCGATGTTTCTCTCTCTCTCCCTTCCTCTCGGTAAAAAAATCAGTAAAAAATATTTTTAAAAAATAGTCCCAGATCCAGTGGAATAGAAGCTTATTCCCCTTTTCTCCAAGTTAAATACTTGCCACCCCACCCTTCACAATGCAGTTGACCATCCACACATGAAATCACTTTTTATTCTGCTTGTGTATGTCCAAAACATGTATATGGCTGTCACTCTTAAAAAAGTGCCCAACATATCCCCAGTAGGGGATGTGCAAGAGGCAGCTGATGGATGACTCTCTCTCATCGATGTTTCTAACTCTCTATCTCTCTCCCTTCCTCTCTGTAAAAAATCAATAAAATATATTTTTTTAAAAGTGCCCAAGATGTATAAACTTGTCTGTTTTGCACTATACTCATTAGACCAGATTTTAAAAATTCAACCTAGATTTAACATGCCAATACGTGCACTTAATAGATTCTTGAAAACTAACAGGCTATAGTAATTTGCTCACCAATTCAAATATTTATTTAGCACCTTTATATGCAAGGCTAAGACCAATGCTTGCAGTTGGAAACAGGATCTCAAAACAATACTTCCAAGACTGCATTCCTACTTTTTTTTTTTTTAATATATATATTTTATTGATTTTCCAGAGAGAGGAAGATAGGGGGATAGAGAGAAACATCGATGAGAGAGAATCATTGATCAGCTGCCTCTTGCACCACCCACACTGGGGATGTGCCCAAAACCAAGGCACATGCCCCTGACCGGAATCGAACCCGGGACCCTTCAGTCCACAGGCCGACGCTCCATCCACTGAGCCAAACCGGTCTCGGCCCTACTTAAATTCTAAGAGCAGTTTACTAGAGCAAATTTAGTAGAGCTTAGATTTGTCTCAGGATTCCCAAGTCAACCTAGTTTTAAACCATCTCACCATGACACACACACTTGCATCACTTTACTCAACACATATTTTGTAGTTCAAGTTTAACCCACAAATATACCTCAATTCAAGTTGCATACACACACACACACACACACACACACAGTAAGCTGAAAATTGACCATTGACTTCATGACGCCCACCAGCCAATCAGGAGTATGCAAATTAACCCAGCAAAAGTGGTGAGTGAATTTGCATATGCAGGCGTCAAGTGGTAAGGGTGGGGGTGGGATACTTGTTATCACCATAGCGACAATGCAAGCATTCTGCACCGCCCCAGCTGCTCCAGGCCTCTGGGCAGCATGGGAAGGCTTTGGAAAGGCAGTTCTTGCTGGAGCGAAGGTGGTACCAACAGCCAGGAGGGAAGGCAGGCCCATTCTTGCACGAATCTTCATGCATCCAACCACTAGTGTGTGTGTGTGTGTGTGTGTATAATGTATAATTTCTAATTTCAAAAAATGCATTTTTGACCATTTTGTTTCCAAATGGCAATAAGGCCATATACCTACATCTTTAATTTTCTCTGCATCCAGCTATTCATGTTCATATAAAATTTTATTAAACACTAGAGTGCATGAAATTCGAGCAAAGATAGGGTCCCTAGGCCTGGCTGGCAATCAGAACCTATTGGGGTCTTCCGGCTGCTGGCAGAGGCCTTCCTTCATTCTGCACCACCCCCTGGTGGTCAGCGCACATCACAGCGAGTGACCCAACTCCTGATCTCCCAGTGGAACTCCGGAGGGGACACTTTGCACATTAGCCTTTTATATATAGAGAGGCCCAATATACACAAATTCATGCCATCAGTGGGGTCCCTTGGCCTGGCCTGTGGAATCAGGATGAAACTGGCTGACATCCTGAGGGGTCCTGGATTATTAGAGGGTGCAGGCCAGGCCGAGGGACCCTACCAATGCATGATTGGGGCTGGAAAGGGACACAGAAGGTTGGCTAGCCAGGGAGGGACTGCAGGAGAGCTCCAGGGTACGTCTGGCCCATTTCGCTCAGTCCTGATTGGCCGGACTCCAGCAGCAAGCCAACCTACAGGTCAGAGTGTCAGTCCCTGGTGGAAGGTGCACATCATAGCGAGCAGTTGAGTGGCCTAGCATATCATTAACATGTTACACTTTAATTGGTTGAATAGCCAATTGGAAGGCTGGACATTTAGCATATTAGGCTTTTATTATATAGGATAATATGTGAAGTATTGATGTTCTTACAAGCACTTTCTTCAAAATCAGCAATTTTGTACAAGAAATGTATTCTGATTGGTTACCAATCATTCTCTATAAATAAAGTACCTGAAAATGGGCCTATTCTGTACATTGTTGTTAGTTTGTTTTTAATCTGCTGGGAGTGAGGAACAGGGTTATCATATTCTAGACCCATCTTCAAAGTGCATTTATCTCTCAATTCACCTGACATCATTCCATTAGACTATCTCAACCAGTATAATTAGGGGGATAAGTGGGAATTATACCACTGAACTGCTCAAATAATACATGGATTCTCTGCCTCTGTATTCAGAACATTTTCATACTTATTGAAAGGCTTGTCAGGTATTTCATCCATAATTCTGGGGGAAAAGTCTTGAATTTACTATAAAATTACACAACGTGATTTGTGTGTTTGTATAACTGGACTTGATCTATGACCTAGAGTAGTTCAATCTAAAGGATTCCTTTAATAAAAACAGTTTTACAAATTGTGATACTAATTTACATACATCTTAATTTAAGATCATCTACTGTGCCCCAGCCATTGTGGCACAGTTCGTTAGTATGTCATCCTACCATATTCCAAAAGACCATGAGTTCTCTCTTTTTCTCCCTTCCACTCTCTAAAATCAATTTAAAAAAAAAAATTTTTTTTAAAGATCATTTATAGTCCTTACCTGCTAAGACTGAATTTATGTCGTTATTCCCAAGGGTAACAGGCATAATACCATTGCACACATTGGTATTATGAGGCTAGTCTTTCTTCATTGTAGAACAATTTTTTGATATATAAACTTGCCATCAAGTTGTACAAAATTTTCAAGTCTCCATGTAAAACATGCTTCAAGAATTAGAATGCCAAAAATTCCCCAAAATGGCATGTCAAAATTTTTGAAAACAGTAAAGAATTCCTTATAATAAACCTACTTCAGTGGCACCTCGAGGCATTAGGATTCCCTACTCCAACTCAACACAAACTTTCCAACACCAAGACCTGATTTAATTATTATAACTGATTTATTTCTTTCAAGTTCACACATTCTGCCTTCCACTCGCCAAACTTCTTCTGTTCTTGGGTTTCTAAAAAAATAGTCATTTTTCAAAAGCAGAAAAGGAAAGATATATATTTAATATATAAAAGAAAAGGCTAAATCTGACATAATTATATTCTTAAAAACATTCCATTTATTTACAGATGTATAAAAAGGCGAATTATTGGGCTACTGAGATCATGCTTCTTATAGAGTTAGGGTGAGAGCTCACTATTCTCCAAATTCCTCAACTTCTCTTGCTCAACATCTTTCATAATCACACATGTAATTTTCATAGATCAGCTTCTCCTGGGGTAAGGTTAAAGGGTTTGGATTTTTTTAAGTTTCTGTCAAACTTCAGGATTGTTCTGAAGACTGAGCCCACCTCAAAATAGCCCTGATATCTTCTTAATTCTAAAAGGTCTTAAAAACACCATGATCTTGGGGATTTGTAATGACATCTGCAGCCTTTTTTGAATACCAGAAATTACCTCTTATTTCCATCTTATTACAACTCTCATAAATAGTCAAATATCTTTCCATCAAGAACTGACTACTACCTGTTTGTCTATAAAAAAGGGAACAGTGTTCAGATGCAGAATGGTCCTTCTTTTCCTGAGGATTCTTCACTCACTTGCCTGTTCCTTGGCTGACTCTCAAAAGGCATAACAAGAGCTTTGGGAAGTCAGGAGGAAATGTGAGGACAAGATGAGCAAGAAAATAATGGGAAACTGCTATACTTAGATTGAAGTACTAGCATCTCCAAGGACAATTATTAGCAGGGAAGACAGGTGCTGGACTCCTTGGCTAAGGCATGAATGAAATCTGCTGGGTAGAGGGGAGTGGGAAGGATAATGAGAAGCACTCATTACCTACTTCAAGCTTCTTCAGTAACCTTAGAGGAGGGAAAGTTGAATGCTGGATGAGCAAGGTGTAGAAAGGCAAGTAGCACAAAACAAAGAATTTGCTCCCACTGCAATTTGCAGAGGAAAAATTTCCACCCTTTTTCATCTGTTGATTACAAGAGTTACTAGAAAGGGAACCAACCATGAAAGTAGTAATTTACTGGCTAGAATCATTCCAAAGTTGGTCTCACAACCTAGGTCTAAAGATACACTGAGTGGGATTTGGGATAAAGAAGGCAAGGGATGTAGAAGATATAGCATCACCCAGGCACAGCCCAGGCACTGGAAGCTCTTGTGTTAGTGTTTAACAACACAAGCAAATCCTGTCAATGAAGACAGAACATGGGTTACATTCCAAAATATAATTATTTAAGAAAGGCAAAATGTAGCAGCTAAATCCCAGTCTATACATTTTCAGAATAGTGATTCTTGCCCCCGGGAGTTCCCAAGAGACCCCTCAAGTGCACCATGATTATTTACAAACTAGATAGGAAACATTTCTATACTCAATACAAATCTCATCTTCTAGGTTGAAAACTTCAGCCTTTGAGAATCTATCAAAACAACTATACAAAAATATAAATATCTTCATCTTTACAGGCTGTCAGTCCTTCATACCCTGACAGCTAATGCGTGAAAAAGCTCTACAGATCATTGAATCCATGGTAGCAGATAATAAAAAATATATCTTGTGATTCAAATACTGCCTTATTTCCCTGGTAGAGTGCCTTCTGTGACTTTTCTTTACTTAACATCCTGTGCAGGTAATGAATAAAACCTTCAAGCACCAGGAGGCTGGTTTGCTTTGGAAAATAACTAGCCCCACAACTTTTTATTTTGGCCACTGTCTCTGGTCTCGGGAGGGAATGCTTTTCATTTTAGTTGTCTCCTGAGTGACATGATTTATGACATGGGGAGGGCTCCCTCTATGCCCACCTCCAAAATATATATTCCAGGTGAAAATCCCTGGTCCTGTGAAATGGTCTTTTCAGTGCCAAAGACAGTAAGGGAGAAGTAGGTGGTGTTGTTTTTTAACATCTCAGAATAACATCTTAGTAATAAAAGTTAAAAGCATTCCTAATTTTCCAAAAGACTTGGATTAAATTCTTACTGAAAATGTGAGGGAATGGAAGTTATTTGGGATATGAAAGAGCGTATTTTGCTGAATGACACAAAGTACTTCACTTTGGTATTCCATGTTATCCCATTCCTCTCCACCTACTTTTAAAACACCAACTGAAAACTCTCTTTTCTGGATCCTTCTGCAGAAGTGCGTCACCTCCCTTGGATTTCACACCTAAACCATATAGCTATCAAACTACAGGTCAGTCCACAGCAAGACTGAAGTCTCAAGCAGCTTTTTATCTCGTAGGGAACTAGAAAACCACTATGGATCTAGAATCTTATGAATTCCTTAGGTGAGAGGAACACCTCATGTTCAGTAATGGATCAATCACATCTTAAGAGAGGACGAGGAGACCCAGCACCACAAATGAGGTAACACATTTTAACATGATTAGAATTTCATAATAGTAATTTCTTACACCAAGGTCAGCAACCTATCCCTTTCTCCACCATTATCCACTGCATCAAAGTCAAGGATTACAGTTCCATGACATAAACAAACAGATGCCAACAGAGAAAGGAGGTTTCCTCTCACAGCCTGGCTTCTGCCTAAGGACATATAAGTTCATTTCCCTGCAGAACTTGATGAGGCCCCCGAGTTGCCCAATTTGACCGCAACAGGTGCCAATGTAGGCATCACCTTGCTCTCCCGGCTTTCCTGGTCATTCCCTATTAAGTTTTTGTGTCCAACTGACCCAACTTTGGCTACAGGTGCCAAACTAGGCATCACCTTTAGACTCTGACAATCCGCATCACTGGAAGGATTAGCTACTTTTAACCCCAGAGGTGCCAACTTTGGCATAGGCCTCCACAAAGTGTCAGTAACGTTGTTCTCTAGGCCAGCTTTCATGCGTAGAATGGGGGGTGAGGAAATATTTTCAGACTCTGCAGGGATACCAGAAGTACTCTTCCCTCCATCACTGACTTTTCTTTGGGGAAGAGGGGAATCCTTTATCTCAGAGTCAATAACAATCTTAAGGACATCTGGCTCAGACGGTGGTTCTACAATTTGTTTTTCATTCTCAGAAAAGTCATCATCTTCCAAGTGCAAGAGAAGGGGACTGGCAGAGTCACTCTCTCCTTGTACATCAGGCAGCTCTTTCACACCAGTTCCCAAGTGGCCAATCTGGAAACTTGCTCTGTTCCCAGGAGGATGCTTACTGATGAAAGCCTGTCGAGCATCCCCTGGGAATTCTGTATCCATAGAGCTGGGCAGTTCCACCAGGCTAACAGTCATCATTTAGTTGCTGATTAAGAAAGGCAATCTCATTGAGCAGAGAAGTCAGTGTCTCATCAGTATCATCCTCATCTTCCATGTTAGTTAGCAGTTCGCTGGGATCCAGTGCTGCTTCCTCAATAGCTGATGCTGCCTTTCTTAGTTCCATCTCTATGCTTGAGTCTTTCAGATCTTTCATTTTTAATTTATGAAATGAAGACTCCTTTGGCTTCAGTCTCTTCCGTCTTGATCCACTCTCTTTGAATTTATACTGAATCCCTCTCGTATTGCCAGAAATCCTTTTGGGTAAGAAATCTTGTGCTTCTTGCACACTGGAAATATCAACCGTTTGTGGAAAACCAGGATCTTTATTTGCTAGAAAACCCTGTGTTGGACCCAGTGCCAGTCTGCCACCTCTATGACTGCCTCTGGAAGAGATTCTACCTGAATCTTCAAAGGAGTTATCTTCATTCCTGGCAGTCTTTTTCAGGTGGTCAGGTGACTTGCCACCAGGAACTTCATGAGAATATTTGCTGCCACTCGTATCTACCAAACCTTCCTCAGTGGCCAGTGATGTCACGTTAACAATTGTTGGCATCATAAATAAGTCATCATTTTCTAGGAGAAAAGAAATTCATTTAGATCTATAGTAGTAAGCATCTCTCTCATTCATACCCAATGACCATTTGGGGAATTGTAGTGAAAATTCCAGTCTATTTTTATCAAAAAGCTAAAAAGAAACACTAGTTCTTCAAATTATAGACCCAGCCTAACAATATGTAAAATCCAATAAAAACAACTAGTATTTGAGATCCTAAAACCTAACTATAACCCTAGCCTTAACACTAGCCCTAACACCCTAATTTAAACCCTAACCTTAAAACAAAGAAAAAAACAAAACAAAAACAAAACAAAAACACACACACTAGTATTTGATATCCCATCCTTAATAAAAGTTCCATTTAATTATTTTATAGAAATGCTCCCCAAGTTAATTCTTTATCTTGCCATACACATGTATCTTCATCTGTTCACCCAATTAACTATTCTGAGGGAAAAATGAAGTCCTCTAGGTAGAACTGAATAACACCTCCAGGCTGGGTTTAGCAGTATTATTAGTAGTAAGGATATCCTTGTACCCTAATAGAAATTTAGGTGCCTAAAACCTAAATCACCAAAGTGGGACTTCCTTTTCAACTCTACTTCTTATCCCTAAAAGCAAGTGATGTTGAAACTGTATCAGGCTAGTAGTATAGGAGTACACCCTGACTATAAAACAAAATTAACAAATACTTCTGAGCACTCAAAACTAAAACAATGCCTCATTTTCCTCACATCTTTTCAAGTCTTTTCCTATTTAGAAATAACTAGAGAACACAAAATAATTCCCAATCCCAGGTAAAGAAGACCAATCAATACCACATATGAAGCCAAATGTGTTCCAAAAGGAGGGTCATTTCTTTCCAAGGAACATTTGCGTAAAATAGTTCTTCATGATTGCAGACACATTCAAAGGCTTTCTTTTCCACAGTGGGCTATCGGGGGTAACTCTTGGTCACTATCCATAAAGAATAACACTGTGACACACCTGACTGAGCCACAGCACTTCTGGCAAGCTGAGTCTGCAGATCTGCTTCCAATAGAGCAGGAGAAACAGTCACCACTGGTCCTGAAAATAGGGGACCTTTTAAGGTGAGCAACTGCCCTTGTAGAGTCATCACAATGTTGGCAGAGGTTTGTGGAGTGTTAGAGGGTGAGGTATTTTCTGTAAAAAAGATCAGAGATTAATTAAGGATTAAAAATCTTCAACTAATGCAAGTTTAGCCTATGAGTCTAGGAGATATCCCTAAAACTACACACTGACTTAAAAGGAATGAAATAAACTTCAAATTTAGTTAGGGAACCTCAACTTGGAATTTACTTTCTGAACCACTTTTCACTGAATAATGGTGGTTTCTCCTGTTTTGTTTTTGTTAATCCTCACCCAAGGATATTTTTTTTCATTAAGCTTTAGAAAGAGTATAAGGAAGGGAGGAAAGGTAAGGGGGGGAGGGGGGAGACAGAAACATTGACATGAGAGAGACGTATCGAATGATTTGTCTCCTGCATGTGCCTCCATCAGGGTTGGGGATTGAACCTACAATCCAGGTACATGCCTAGGACCGGGAATCGAATCTGCAACCCTTCTGTGCACGGGCCAACACTAACCACTGAGCAACAATGGTGAGGGCCACGAGTTCTTCTAATGGTCAGACTTTATTATTATTGAGGAATAGAGTTATGGAACCACTTTTTTGATAGAAAGCTTCTGATAATCTTGATGGTGAATGTGGATGAAGACATATACAGTTCTACTCCTAGGCTTGCTTGCTTCCCTATATACTTCTAACAAATTATTTCAAATTTCTAGACCTGTTTTTCTATCTGTGAAATGAGCTGACTGGACTAAATGATCATTAAAATCTTTTCTTAGCAATAACATGATTTGATTCTGCAACTTTAAAACTAACTTATACTTCAGTATTTATCATTACTATCTTAGCTGATTTTAAAAACCAAATTTCCTGGCCCTCGCCAGTTTGGCTCAATAGACAGAGCGTCGGCCTGCGGTCTGTCTGAAGATTCCAGCCAAGGGCACATGCCAGGGCTGCAGGCCCAATCCCCGGGGGGGGTTGTGCAGGAGGCAGCCAATCGATGATTCTTTCTCACCACTGATGTTTCTCTCTCTCTCTTTCCCTCTCTATTCCATTCTGAAATCAATAAAAATATATTTAAAAACAACAACAAAAAATTTCCTGGTTCATACATTTCACTCAAAGAGTAAAAAATGATATACCATTCTCTAAGGATATACAAAAATAATGTGAAACTAGTATTATCTCACTTCCAAAAATTAATATAGGAGAGAGCGATAAGTTAGAACCAACTTATGACCTGGAGAGTATCATACTAAGTGAAATCAGTCAGTCAGAGAAAGACAAGCATCACATGATCTCACTCATATATGGAATCTAATTAACAAAATAAACTAATGAACAGCGTGGATCCAGAGACATGGAATACAGTGTGGAATCTCAGAGAAGGCAGGGTAGGGTAGATGGGTGGGAGGTAATCAGCCAAAGATCTTATACGCATATATGCATGACCCATGGTAGCAGGCAGTGGGGTGGAGAGGGCTTTGGGCAGGGGTGGGCTAGAGGGGGTCAATGGGAGAAACCAGGGGATATGTGTAATACTTTCAGCAATAAACATTTAAAAAAAAAAACCACAATTTACTTTGTTCTTTAAAGCAATTCATTGATAGGCAATCTGATTCAACAAAATTAAATTTAAAAAATCTTCCAATATATTTGTCTCAGCAAGGCCTAAACTTCCTCATGACTGATAAGCAGAACTGCAAGGAAAGAGTTCATGTATAAAGACTCAAAAGATGGCAGCCTATGAAATACTCACTGAAACACTAGAGGGAAAATATATGATTGTATACTCTATCAGAAGTAGGTCTTAAATGTTACCATGACTGTAACTTGTTAGGATTTGGTTGAATGTTAAAACTAGAAACTGAAATTTAATGTAATTAATGTTCTACTTTTTATATAACCACTAGAGGCCCACTGCAGGAATTCATGCATTGGTGAGGTCTGGCTGGCCTGTCCCGATCGATCGACTGATCAGGGGCGGTTGGTCAGCCAGAGGGAGGGGCTGCAGGTGGTTGGCCAGCTGGCCCCAACCCCTGGTCAAACTTCTGGTAGAGAAAATTTGCATATTAGCATTTTATTATATAGAATATTTAATTCATTCACTTACAACTAAATTATGGCCACAAGATGTTCAGTCCACTAAACTAAACTAAACTAAACTAAATGTTCATTAAGAAAAGCAAAGAATGGCCCTCCTACCTGTGGCCTGGTCTCTTTTTCTGGAAAGAATCAAAGGTTTCCCCTTCCTGTTATTTATAAACATCTGTCCAAGATCTACAGATGATGCAGAAGATCCTTCCTGCTGTTTGCTAGTTCTGGGAGACACATCAAACTCATCTGATCCCATCTTCTTTTTTCTTTTTTGTGCCTCTAGTGCTTGCTGTTTTGCATAAATATATTCTAGCTTCTTCAGGACCACTTCTTCTGTCTTACCTATAGGTTGACAAGGAATAAATTGTCACTCTCTGTATGACCCCACTTAATAATGAGAAATAGAATCAACTGAAATTGAGTTGATTTAACTATATTCCCCAAAACTATGGAAGACAAGAGTGAATATAAACCAAGAGAATCTGCCCATTTAGTCAAAAGATAACTCTGCAGTTAACTATGGGAACCAAACCTTAAACTAGACTATCTGAAAGACCTATTGAGAATTTCTCTTTACTAAAATTATTTATCATACTCTTAACCAAAGATCATTTACATATCTCACCTGAAAGAGATGATACTTTCCGTATCAAAATATTTCGTTTTCGAGTCAGGAGATTTTTCTGTCCTATCAACTTGTCAGCTTGATCTGTTAGTCCTTGAATTTCACTGAATGCCTAAAAATAAAAATAATAATGTGCCAATCAATTTGCTCTTCTTACACTTCTCTAATAAAAAAAAATTTAATCTAATATTTTAACAATTTTATAATGCCATTTAAAATAACCCATACATTATTTTTTGTTAAACTGCAGGTTTTTTGGCTTATTAATTCTAGGGGACATGATTATTTCCAAAAAGAATCACTGAGTGAGTTACAGGTGTTTCCACACTACAAGGCGATACAAAACATTTTACTCTGCTTAGATTTTCATAACTTTAAAGTCATTTCCCAGTCAAATTAAAATCTGATTGAAAAAACTTTGTTTAGAGAACTATGAATGCTTGCCTTGTACTCCTCTCCAACTCCTACTTTAAAAGCAACTACAGTGAAATTTGCCTTAGACAGTCAACATGCAAACTTAAAACATCTACTAGCTTGAATATTTCAGATTTCCTTTTAAAAGGACTATCAATCGTTAAGAAGTATGTTAAAATATCACTTATGTTGTGCTTTCCACTGTGATAAACTGTTCTCAGTGCTATAGAGAACACCAATGTAAAGAGTGCTAAACAGAGCTTATCAGGGTTTTTGCTTTATTTGAAGGAAGGATGGCTCTGCCAATTAAAAATCTGGCTTTTAATGAAAAGCTACTCTGATACAACAAAAAAACTCTTTCTCCTAAAGGATGTATTGGGCCTTCACTAATCCATATTCAAATGTTAAATACAACTCTATTTCAATCTCCCTTGAGTGATAATATTTTCTCTTTTATGTTTAGAACATTCTTACTCAAGCTCTTAATTGTCTATACAGAACACTTACCCTAGTAAGAATGAGACGTTTGGAAACCTTGGAAGAGTGAAGTAATCCCAATGTGGTCTTCAATTTCTCAAAGAGATCCCTCATTTCACCATGCCGGCGTGGCTCATTGGCAGTGTGTATCTGGCGATAATAAGCAAAAGCTTCTGCTTCTTTCTGTAATTTTTCATTCCAGTGTTCAGGCTTCAGTTTTACATTAAATTGTGAAGCCTATACAAACAAAAAATGACCACCTAAATGTCTTTCACATGTACCTTCCCACTTCCTCCATCCCAAATGGCATTGCTCTGTATCAGACAACCACATCTTCTGCCTGGACTATCATAGCCTCTCACATACTACTAGTCTATCCTTCCTCAAAATCTAACTGTGTAAATTCCTTTTTTATTTTTTATTTAACAGTGTAAATTCTTTTTTAAAATCTTTATTGTTCAGATGTTTATCTTTATTACAGAGGTTCCTCTTATTTCCCCCCACAGCCTCCCTCTACCTGGTTCCTACACCACTCCAGGCCTTCCCCCACCCCCTCGACTGACCTCATCCATAGGTATAAGCTCTTTGTCCAATCTCTTCCTGCACCCCCATAATTCTTCCACCAAGAAATGTCAGTCTGCTCCCTTTCCATGCCCCATTCTACCGTGTTTCCCTGAAAATAAGACATCCTCAGAAAATAAGACCTAGCACATGGAAAAAGATGTGCATTAAAATCCCCTGAAAATAAGACCTAGCGCAACTTTGGGAGAAAAAATTAACCCTTTGCACTCCAAACCATTCTGGACATTGGCTATCAGCTACTCGACACTAACGGCGGAAACATGCATTGAATTAACTCAATTCCCCGTAATCACTAATAAACTGCAATGTCCCCTGAGAGGGGACATCCGAGTGATATGCTAGAATTCCGATGTCCCCTGAGAGGGGACAGCGGAGTGCAAAGGGTTAATATAAGACACTGTCTTATTTTCGGGGAAACAGGGTATTACATTCACAAGTCTGTTCTGTTCATCAGGTTTTTTATTCATTTTTAGGTTAACTTGTTGATAGATATGTATTTGTGGTCACTTTGATGTTCATAATTTTTTATCTTTGCCTTTTTCTTCTTCTTCTTGAATACTTTTCAGCATTTCATATAATACTGGTTTGGCAGTTATGAAATCCTTTAGCTTTTTCTTGTCTGTGAAACTCTTTAGCTGACCTTCAATTCTGAATGTCAGCTTGGCTGGGTAGAGTAATCTTGCTTGTAGGTTCTTGCTATTCATCACTTTGAATATTTCTGCCACTCCTGTCTGACCTGCATGGTTTCTGTTGAGAAATCAGCTGACAATCACATGGGTACTCCCTTGTAGGTAATTAACTATTTTTCTCTTTCTGCTTTTAATATTCTCTTTGTCTTTTGCTCTTGGCATTTTAATTATGATGTGTCTTGGTGAGGTCTTCTTTGGATTCCTTTTGTTTGAGGTTCTGTGTGCTTCCTGGGCTTGTAAGTACCGTATTTTTCGGACCATAAGACGCACCGGACCATAAGACACACCAGTTTTTAGAGAAGGGAAATGAAGAAAAAAAGATTCTGAAACAAATAGTGTCCTAAAATATTTTATGTGCATTAAAACCCAACATCACAGTCATAAACACATGTAATCAACCCTGTAAAGTAAACAGCAGCATTTAGAACCATTTTAGAGCCGGGCAAGCACACAGAGACCACACAGAGCCGGGCCAGTAAAAAAACTTTTTTTTAAAGTATATGTGTAGGCTATATTTGGACCATAAGACGCAGGGACTCCCCCCCCCACACACACACACTTCTGGGGGGAAAAAAGTGCATCTTATGGTCCGAAAAATACGGTATATTTCTTTCACCAGGTGGGGGAAGTTTTCTGTCATTATTTCTTCAAATAGGTTTTCAGCAACTTGCTCTCTCTCTTCTTCTGGCACCTCCATAATTCAGATGTTGGTATGCTTGAAGTTGACCAAGGCTTCTTACATTATCTTCAACTATTTGGATTTTTTTTTCTTTTTGTTTTTCTGGTTGAGTGTTTTTTGCTTCTTTGTATACTAAATCTTTCACTTGATTCTTGCGATCCTCTGGTCTGCTGTTGGGACTCTGTATATTTTTTATTTCAGTCAGTGTATGTTAAATTTCTAGTTGGTCATTTTCATATTCTCGAGGGTCTCGCTAAATTTATCGGCCTTTTCTAGGAAATTCTTGAAAAACCTTATAACCGTGGTTTTGAATTCTATATTCAGTCGTTTGTTCTCCTCCTTTTCTTTTATTTGTGATCTGTTTCTTTGCCTCTGCATTTTCGCTGCTTCCCTGAGTTGGTAGGGTAGCTTTGTGTGCTAGGTTTTCTATAAGGCCCAGTGGGTCAATCTCCCCAGTTACCTGAGGTGGACACTCTTGGTGCACCCCTTTGTGAACTGTGTGTAGAGTTTTGTTGTAGTTAAGTCTTGATTATTATCATCACTGGGAGGAATTGACCTTCAGGCCAATTGGCTGTGAAATCAGGTGTGTCTACTCCAGGAGACCTTCTGTATTGGAGACAGCCTTAGAGGACCAGACTTGCAAAACTGCAAAAGCCGCTGTGCTCAGCTTGGATGGGGCAGAGTCTCGGGGCTGAGTAGACAGTCTTGGCTTCCCGTTAGCCCTGCCCTTGTGCGTGCGCCTCCAGACCTCTGCTTTCCATGGTTCCCTTGAGTTTCTGCCTGACGGTCCAGATTCCCCCTGTAAGAGCATAGTCCCCCCAGGGGCTTGTCCGGAACTGGGTTTCAGTGCAGTTGGAATTGGGGTTCAGTGTAGTCAGGAGCTTCCAACTCCCTTCCTCTAGGGAAAGCCTGTGGCAACCTCCGCTGTCAGTCTTCTCTGTGCACATTCTTGCTCACACCTCTAGACCCCTGATTACCGCGCCCCCCCAAGTCTCCATGTGCCTTTCTCTCTACCTAACAGTCCAGTCTCCCCTCCCATCCCCCACAAAATGAGCCTGGGTCCACAGGGTTTCGGCCAGAACTGGTGTTCAGTACAGTCGGGGGCTTCCTTTCCCCTCCTGCCAGAGAAAGCCAACCAGGCACTCAGCCACCCTTTCTCTCTGCATGCGTCTCCATACCTCAGCCCTTTGCAGCTCCTCTGATTCTCCATGAGCTTTTCTTTCCTTCTATTTGTATAATTTCCACTCAGCCAGCTTTCCTATGGTTCTGGTTGATGTCCGTTCTTTTAGTTGTTCTGAAATTGTTGTGCGAGGCAGCAGTTTAGGTGCTTAGCTATGCCGCCATCTTGTTTTTCCTCCTCATCCATTTCTTTCATTTGTGACTTCTTTGTTTCCGCATTTTGGCTGCTTCCCGATATTTGCTTATATATACTGGGTAGCTGCTATGTCTCCTTGAGTTGATAAGAATGGCCTTGTGTGGTAGATGTCCTATAGGGCCCAGTGGCTCAGCCTCCCCAGTCACCTGAGGTGGATGCTCTTGGTGCACCTCTTTGTGGGCTGTGTGCACAGTCTTGTCGTAGTTAACCCTTGATTGCTGTTGGTATCACTGGGAGAAATTGACCTCTAGGCCAATTGGCTGGGAGGACCAGCTGTATCTATACTGGAAGATCTGTTGCGCAAGAGTCACCTTTATTGGACAGGACTTGCTTCAGTAGGGCTTTGGCACTCACTGGGACTGCACCCTGTGTGTGTCTCTTATGGATGTTAAGAGTTGTTATTTGGTATGGTCTAATTCTGACCACTGGGTACACTGGCTATTGGATCTCCAAGGATGTGCAGGGCCAGCCACTGTCTGAAGCCACCCAGCAGTAACTATAGAGACATCTGCAGATTCCTCCTCTTTGTATGGAGTTTGGAAGAGCCCAGCTGTGAAGCAAGACAGGCTGCTGCTGCTGGGTCTTGGGCCTTCTTTTAGAAGCTCTGGGGCTCTCTGACCCTGCTGCAGTTTGACAGGTTTTAGGCAGAGATAGAACAGGCCATTCATATGCAAAAGCTGATGAGCACAGCTTGGGGGGGGGCGTGTAAATTGGGTGGGCTGGGGTCTCTGACAATCACCAGGGCGGAGCAAACAGTAATGTCTGCCAGTCAGCCCTGCACCAGAGAGGCCCTGAGTTTCTGTATCCCATGCCCCTGTGCAGGAACAACAATCGCTGCAAGCACCTGCGAGAAAGCCGCCCTTGCGTTCCTGTCCCAATGCCAGACAGTCCAGTTTCTCCCCATATGTGTCCTGGTCCCCCAGAGTCTCACTTGGAGCTGGAGTTCAGAGCAAGCGGGAGCTTGTATCTCCCTCGTGTTTAAAAGAGCAGCACATCCAGGTGCCAGCACTTTCCGTACCTCTGCTCCTCTTACCAGTCTCACTGTGCTTTCTTCACCCCCTTAGTTGTGGAACTTCCACTCAGCCAGCTTTCCCACTGTTCTGGGTAGTAGTTGTTCTGCCTTTTAGTTGTAATTTTCATGAGGTTGTGAGGGGCAGCAAGTATCCAATACGTGTTTACCTATGTCGCCATCTTGGTTCTCCATCAACAGTGCAAATTCTTTTTTTTTTAAATCAATCTTTATTGTTCATATTATTACAAAGGTTCCTCATTTCTTCCCCCCCTCCACCAAGTTCCCACCCCACCCTCTGCCCTTTCCTCTGTCCTCATCCATAGGTGCACAGTTTATGTTCAGTCTCTTCCAGCATCCACCACTCCCCTTTTCCCCAAGAATTGTCAGTCCACTCCCCTCCCGAATCTCTGATTCTATTATAATCAACAGTTAATATTGTTCATCAGGTTTTTTAATTTCCTTGGTTGTTGTTGTTTTTTAAATTAATAAACTTTTATATTTTTAAGAATAAATTTTAAAATCTAATAATTTTAAACCTTGTTTTTTTCTGCCCTGGGAACTGAGAAGCAAACTTGTTTACATGTAACCTTGCCCTAAGGCTATCAAAAGGTGTAACCATTCAAATGTAAATGAACACATTGTTTAAAGATAGCAGCTGGCTAGAATTGGATTACCTGTTCTGGGTGGGAAGGGCTTGTCCTCCTCTTTCTCCATTAAAATTAAGGTGTTAGCTTTAAAACCTCTTTTTGGCAAGAGACCTTAAACTTTCAGAACTTTAAATTTTTCAGGTAGTAAATCAATTACTTAGCATTTTTTCAAATCAATAATACCTCCACATGCCCACGGATACACTTCAAACAAAAGACACTTCCAAATAGATCAACGAACCTCATCCAGACCCCACTCAAGGCACTCACAGATCAACACCCCGGCACTACAACAACTCAACACATCCAGATCTAAGCCTTCATCACTTGATTCAGCAGACCCTCAAGTTCCCCCAAAAGTTTCCAGCCATGTCAACAGTGCAAATTCTTAATCTAACATTTAAAATTCAAATTTCGTATTTTTTCAGAAAAATTTTTCTTGACCCTCAGGATGCCTTAGGCTTTCTTATTTCATTTTAGTTTTTAAAATTATGTATTATAGCCCGGGCAGTGTATCTTAGTGACTAGGCATTGACCTATGAACTACAAGGTCACAGTTCAATTCCCCATCAGGGTACATGCTCTGGTTGCAGACTCAGTCCCCAATAAGGGGCATGCAGAGACAACTGATCAGTGATTCTCATCATTAATGTTTCTATCTCTCTCATTTTTCCTCTCTGAAATCAATAAAAATATACTTAAAATTTTTTTTAATTACGTATTATAGATGCGATAAGTAATAGATGCACATAAGGTTTTTAATATAAATATTTAAAAGGTTTATAATGAAAAGCAACTGTGCCCTACACCTGCACATGAACCAACAGAAAAAAACCACTTTATCCTTTTTTAAAAAGAAATTTTATTTTAATTGATTTCAGAGAGAAAGAAATAGGTAGAGATAGATAGCAAGCCCCATCCTGGGATCAAACCTGCAACTCAGACATGTGTCCTGACTTGATATTGAACCAGGACCTGCTTCATAGGTCCAAACTCAACCACTGAGCCATGCCAGCCAGGCCATTTGATGCTTACAGATGCTTTTTATGGCTCTTAAATCTATACCTAAATAACAAATAGTAATATAAGCATATGCTTGTTAATTTTCAATGCTACCTATCCACTTCCTGTTATGTAAAAGAGAATTTAGCCCACACCACCCTCTTACTTCATTTCATCATCCCATCTTCCTAATACGAACATATCATTAATTTTAGTTCTTTAATGACCCATATACAACTTGAATATAATACTAATCTCAATCTCTTACTTCATCAACAATAGACAATATCTCTATAAAATAAGATTCTCAGCACTTGTTATCCTTCCTCTTATTTCTTCCTTCCTCTTCCATCTCCCAATTTGTCATCTGTACTTAAACATTTTCAACACTAAAATTAAGTCTTCCAGATTTTATTCGTGATTAAAAAAGTTTTTAAAAAATCACCAACAGAGTCTACCCTCTTATGACAATGTGAATACTTTTCATACAAAGTAATAAATACATTTCTGGTCTTCTACAGTTTGATTTTGTTTTTCCCTCTCTGATGTGTCTAGTTGTCTTCTTTTTTATCAGAACAAAAATCACTGTCCTTCTAAAGTTAAACTTGTTGAGCAATAGTATAGTACAGGAGAATAAAAGATACAACAAGACAGAATAAAAACTAATACCAAGTTTAAATATAGCAAAAGGTTATAAATAATTTACATGTAATAATTAGGGCGCAAAAACAATGGATTGTATAAGTAAGTTATGAAAATTATTGTATCTGAAAAATGTTTTAATATAAATGAAAAAATATAATAATATGTACAAAAATTACAAGCATGTAAATATGTATCATGTGATCCCAAAACCAGATCAAACTCAACCTAACCATACCAAGGGGTTTTTAAGAAAGGATCTAAATACTACTCCTTCAACTCAACCCAAGATTCATCACTGCCTCTATCTCTTAAATTAAAAAGACAGAATAGCAAGTGGAAAATTATTTAAACAACCAAACTCTCTTACATTCTTAATGTCAATAAGGATAAAAAAAAACCAAAAAAAAAACCTTGCTTAGTTATACAATGATATACAGTAAGCATATTCATAAAAATCAAAGAACATTTTAATATGGCTTCTTAAAATGCTAGCCATCATTGCCGAGACTGATTTGACTCAGCAGATAGAGCATCGGCCTGCGGACTCAAAGGTCCCGGGTTCGATTCCAGTCAAGGGCATGTACTTGGTTGCGGGCACATCCCCAGTGGGGGGGGGGGAGTGCAGGAGGCAGCTGATCGATGTCTCTCTCTCATCGATGTTTCTGGCTCTCTATCCCTCTCTTTATCTCTCTGTAAAAAATCAATAAAATATATATATTTTTTAAAATGCTAGTCATCATTAAAGAGAATTAATTTTTAGGTCACTGAAAAATCACCTAAGGATGCCAGCTTATTTTATGGCATTTAATTATTTTAATAGGATTAAAATGGACAAGAAATTTATGAAACCTGATATGCACATCAATTTTCATAAAATGCACACCCATTTTAATGCTTCTAAATTATTCTACCATCAGGGTAGAAGAGAGAATTAAGAGGAAAAATAGCATTAAAAATGTAATTTCATTAAGGGTTAAAAAAAAAAGCTGATTAACTGATTAGTAAGACTACCCTGAATATATCTAATAGAACTAATGTTGTTTTAACCCTAAGGGCAAATGACATCATTTTATTAAATAAGTAATTATTGTTAAATATATTATGAATACCTTTCGACTTCTTTCAGCAGCTTTTTCGTCTGCAGACATATGGGTACGGCACCTAGATAAAGATAGTATTTTTTAATGTCTTACTAAAATTCAGTAATCTAAAATTTATTTTCACAGCTATATTAAACAAAACCATCTCAAATTGTCTAAATTGTAACTAGCCTCTTTTCTCTAAGGTCTGACATGTGGCAATATAACTAATTTCCTTCTCTAATAAATGGTGTCCAAATAGTCCCTAAAACTAATTACTTTTTTCAATCATGACATATTTCAAACATACAAACCAGTATAAACAAACATATAATGAAAATCCAAGTATCGCCGAAACCAGTTGGCTCAGTGGATAGAGCGTCGGTCTGTGGACTGAAAGGTCCCGGGTTCGATTCCGGTCAAAGGCATGTACCTTGGTTGTGGCACATCCCCAATGGGGGGGGTGCAAGAGGCAGCTAGTTGATGTATCTCTCTCATCGACGTTTCTAACTCTCTATCCCTCTCAATTCCTCTCTGTGTAAAATCAATAAAATATATTTAAAAATAGGTCACTGAAAAAAAAAAGAAAAAAAAAAGAAAAAAAGAAAATCCAAGTATCTATCACCCAGCTTGAGAAATTAAACCTCTAAAAACTAAGAGATCTTTTGTGCAGCCTATTCAATCCCATTTCCTTGTTCCTTCTCATAGGTAAACACTCCCAAACTGAGTTTACCATGCACGTATTTGCAGTTCTACTAGGTATGTGGGATATATCCCTAAATAGAAAATATTACACAGCACTTTAAACATTATATAGTAAGTATAGGGTATCTTTCTTTAACTGATCTGTTCCACTCACCTTACATCTGAGACATGTTGATACATATACAGTAGTTCTAGTTCAATCATTTTAAGTGTGAATTTTCAGAAATTGATTTCAGAATGTTAGTTGTTGTTTAGGTTGTTTACAAATTTTAACATTGCTGCAGTGGACAGTCCCATACATGACCCCTGTACAGGCTTTGTAGGGCATATATCTAGAAGTGGAATAAATGAATAGAAGGCGCGCACTTCTTCAACTTTAGTAATGTCACACTTCTCGCCAAATGGTTTTAACAATTTACACTCCCCACCTGTAGTATGTTCCATTGCTCCACAATTAGGTAACAGTACTATCAGAAATTTCAATTTTGCCATTTTTATGGGTGTGAATTGATAAAGTCATTGTGGTTTTATTTATATTTCCCTAATTACAAATTTTCATTGTTTACTGACTATCCAGGTTTCCTCATGTGAATTCCATGAGAGAACCATTACTTCCTTTTCTAACTGAACTAGAGGCCCAGTGCATGGACTCATGCACACTGAAAGGGAATTAATTAGAAGATGGACTACGGGGCAGGACTAGGCAAGAAGAGCCATGCATGTCCTGGAGCCAACTTCCCATGGTCCCTCCCTGGCCTGCCACACCTGGGGTGGCACCGTGGTTTGAAGGGCATCTTCAGAGTGAGCAGGGTCCCTCTGGCAGGTGAGGTCTCTCAACCTAGCCTGTGGGGGTCAGGCTGAAATTGGCAGTCCGACATCCCCCAAAGCACCCCCGAATGTGAGAGGGCACTCTGCAAAGTTGCTGTCACTCGGCAGCTCCAGTGTTGAGAGTATGCCCCCTTGTGGTCAATGAGCATCACACCTACCAGCAGACTGGTCAGCCAATTGCTTAGCCTTTTATATATATATAATTTTTTTCTTACTGACTTGTAACAGCTTATATCCTTGATAGTAATTCTTTGTCAAAGATTATTATAAATATTTCTTTTACAGTCTAAGTTTGCCTTCTCACTGTTTTCATGGTGTTCTAATAGACAAAATACTTTAAATTCGTAATAATCTGCTGTTTTACAACAGTTTGTGCTCTGTGTGTATTGGTTATTCTTGGTCCTTTATTTATTAATTGATTTGAGAGAAAGATTTATTGTTCCACTTATTTATGCACTCATTAGTTGATTCCTGTGTATACCCTGACAGGTCTTGGCCCTTTATTTCAGTTCATTAACATGGTATACCTTCATTTAGTGAATTCTTCTTCAATTTCTTTCAATAACATCTTACAAAACTTTTGTTAATAGTCCCAGGTTTGTTTTGTTACTATTGGTAGTTTTTAGAAAAACATTTTTTATTTGTTGCTATTATTTAGGAACTTAATTTTTACTGTGCTGAACTTAAATATCCAGCCAATACTGCTGAACTTAATTAAGTCTAATTAAGTTTTTAAGGGATTTAAACTCTTTCATGCTTAACCAGTAGGCAACTGAAGTAGCCTCCAAATAGCTCCGGAGTAAAGAAAACTACTAGGACTAACTCCCCCTCCCTTAGACTTTCTCAACATTACTTTATCTTTGTGACAGCAAGGATGAATCTGGAGAGCATTATGCTAAGTAAAATAAACCAGTCAGAGAAAGACAAGCACCGTATGATTTCACTCATATGTGAAATCTAGTGAACAAAATGAATTAACAAGCAAAATATAGACAGACACAGAGAGAGCAGGCTGACAGATGTTGGGGGAAGGGGCGGGGGAGGGAGACTGTGTGGAACGGAGAGATTTAGCAATAAAGGAGAAAAAAATTCTTGTACAACAGTGTGGTGACTGTCGGGGGAAGAGGGTAGAGGGCAATAAAGAAGGGTATAGGGGGAATAAATGGTGACGGAAGGAGACTTGACTTGGGGGTGGTATACAATATAATGTACAACGTTGTGGAATTGTGCACCTGAAACCTGTATAATTTTGTTACCCAGAGTCACCACAATAAATTTTTTTAAAATTATTTTCTCAACTCATTTATTACTTTATATGGTAGTTCATGTCTTAATTTTTTTTAAATATATTTTATTGATTCTTTACAGAGAGGAAGGGAGAGAGATAGAGAGTTAGAAACATCAATGAGAGAGAAACATTGACCAGCTGCCTCCTGCACATCCCCTACTGGGAATATGCCCGCAACCAATGTACATGCCCTTGACCAGAATCAAACCTGGGACCCTTCAGTCCACAGACCAACGCTCTATCCACTGAGCCAAACCGGTTTCGGTCATGTCTTAATTTTTAAAGATAATGGAACTGCCTGGCCGGAGTGACTCAGTGCATGAGCATCAACCTATGAACCATGAGGTCACGGTTCGATTCCTGGTCAGGACATACGCCCAGGTTGCCGGCTAGATCTCCAGTGGAGAGGCATGCAGGAGGCAGCTAATTGATACTTCTCTCTCACCAGTTTTTCTATCTCTATCCCCCTCCCTTCCCCTCTCCAAAGTCAATTAAAAAAAAAAAAAGGGGGGGGGGGAACAGGGGGATATTTGTCCAAGCTTAAGTATCTACAAACTAGCAAAACTAGTATATGAATACCAGAGAGTCTAGTTCCAAAAACATGTTATTCACATTTACACTGTCCCCCAGCAATAACCCAGGCAAGTTGATTACCTCTAAATTCCAGCTCCTCTCTCATTTACTAATCAGAAAAAAAGCTAGAGCAATAAAAAAAAAAACAAGTTTCTTACTCCAGAGCTCCTGAACTCGGTTTTGTTTATAGTAAAAAAACAAACAAACAATAACCCAAAAAGAAGTTAAACTTACGTCTGTTTAAAACTCTGTGTGTGGGCAGCTGTGGTCTTCATGTGGTCAACATTAATTTCCTCAGAGAGCTCTTCCACAGTCTCAATGTCCACCTGCTCCTCCTCATCATCAATGAATTCTACACAGTTATCCTGAAAAACAAGATTCCAACAGTAAATAAAGTATTCGGAAGCTAGCACACCTAAACTATATATTGAATGCTCCCCTTGTAAAAACCAACTAGTGCTACGCACTGATCTTATACCAAGAGTACTGATAATCCTAAATTTGTTCATCATAGAGGGAATTAACTCATAAAAATATGGATGAAGCTAAAGACTAAGAATTATATAATAAAAAATCACAGGTATTGCCAAAACCGGTTTGGCTCAGTGGATAGAGTGTTGGTCTGCGGACTGGAAGGTCCCAGGTTCGATTCCGGTTAAGGGCATGTACATTGGTTGTGGGTACATCCCCAGTAGGGGGTGTGCAGGATGCAGCTGGTCGATGTTTCTCCTCTCATCGATGTTTCTAGCTTTCTATCCTTCTCCCTTCCTCCTATATATATATATATTTTTTTTAAATAAAATATTTATATATTTTTCTTAAATTACAGGTATTAAAAAGACATCATTAGACATCATCAGACACTCACAAAAACATACTCAAGGCAGGTATGGAAATAAAAATATAGCCCAAAAATCTGTATTAATTCCAGTGTTATTTCTAATGGATAAAGTTCAGTAATAAATATATTAAAACTGCATAAATCTTAAGATTATATAGCAGTAAAGTAAAATTTGGCAAAGGGGAAAGTAGAAAAAAGAAAAATTCAGGTTCTATTTTAAAGGTGCTTCATGACAGACTCATGAATACAGACGGTTGCCAAAAGTGGAGGAAGGTGAGACTGGGTGGAAAAGCTGAAGGAATTAGGAAGTACATATTGATAGCTACAAAATAGTCACAGGGATATAAAGTACAGTATAGGGAATAGTCAATAATATTCTAGTGACAATATATTGTGCCAGGTGGGTACTGGAAATATTGGGGGAACACTTTGTATAAAATATATAATTGTCTAACCTCTATGCTATAAACTTAAAACTAAAACAAAATAATACTGAAGGTAAACTGTAATTGAAAAAAAAATGTTTAAAGAGTGAGTCACAGCCGGGACCGGTTTGGCTCAGTGGATAGAGCGTTGGCTTGGGGACTGAAGGGTCCCGGGTTCGGTTCCGGTCAGGGGCATGTGCCTTGGTTGTGGGCACATCCCCAGTGGGGGGTGTGCAGGAGGCGGCTGGTCGATGATTCTCTCTCATCGTTGTTTCTGACTCTCTGTCCCTCTCTCTTCCTCTCTGTATAAAATCAATAAAATATATTAATAAAAAAAAAAAGTGAGTCACAGCTAATCACACACTGAGACCCACAAAAAACATACTCAAGGCAGGTATGGGGGGAAAAAACACAAACCAGTCTTTTAAATCTCTCACCCCCACAGAAGGAGAGCTTCTGAAGAATTTCAGATATCAAATGCAGCTCAGGCTTGCTCTACTTGCTAATTATTCTTAAAAACTGAGCCAATCAGTAAGCACTTATTGAGCACCTGTCACAGAAGCTCACTGTGCATTTTATGTAACAGAATATACAGATTGAGATATGCAGATATCTTTAAGTTCACCTTTAAAAGTAGTGTTTACTATGCCAGAAACTAAAGTGAGAAAATGTTATCTATAATCACACTGTTCCAAAAATGCACAACTCAAAAGTAAAGCATCCCAATCACCTTAATAATCCTATATTTAAGCTTGTTGTAAAAATTACTTACCCCCAAATTATAGGCTTCATAAGGCTGATAAAAAAACACTAAATGCAAGCCATCATTTATGTCCTCCAATTTAAGCACAATTTAAACAATGTATCTTAAATTTAAACAATGTAAACAACATGTATTAAAATTGACTACAAAAATTTAGGAAGCTGAATCATCAGAGTCCCAAAAGAATCTAAAGAGTCTGGATAATATGTAGATAGATGCTTTATAATATTTGAACTGAAGAATGTCTTTCTACTGCATGGCTTAAACTTCAGGCTTTGTAAATAATGTCCAATAAACTTCACAATGGAAGTTTTAAGTTAAGGAAGCTACTCACAACTTCCCTTACACTATTTCAATATAATGTTAATCACAAACATAAAGATATCGTAACTGTATACATGTACATAAATACAATGTAGAATTTAGGTTTTAGAGATTTAATATAATGTTCTTCATTAAAAAAAAAAAAAGTCAGTGTATCTTGTATGTCAGATTCCCTATTAGGAAATTCAAGCAATGCCACCCTGTTAAAAAACACTCTAAAGGCCCTATAAAGTCAATTTTATAACAATAGTTTTCACTGGTTTTAAAGTTGGTCTAGTTTTGGTCTGATGCTTACCCAGGCTGACTTACAATGGGAGACTCTGAAAACAGTGTAAGACTATCTACACAATCTAACTCCCAACTCAGTGAATTCAGATTCTTTAGCTACCTACAGATGTCTACTCTCAAAGGACTAGAGGAAGAATATAAGGCATATGCTATAGAATTATTCAATTGTAGAGTTAGATCCTCGTTTTATAAATGAGACAACTGAGATTACAGAAATAACCAACACAAAACATTTAAACACTTTAGAGTCTTAAAATACTATTTTTATGTTTTATCTGCATAAGGTGGTTAGCTATTAACATAGAGGGACTAGGTAACAAAGGCTGAGTGAACAACAAGGAAGTGAAATTCTAAAATAACCCACTGCATTGCAATCAGTGCAGAGGCCCATATTATCTGAAAGGAGGGACTCGTTCCTTTTAGATTTCAGGGCACCCCACAGGCTTCTAGGTATAACCTCCTTATGATTTACAGCACACCCCATGTCAAGGGTCAGCAAACCACAGTCCCACCATCTGTTTTGGTAAGTAAAGGTTTACTGGAACACAGCTTCTCCACTTACTCACTTCTAGTATTTGTGGCTGCTTTTATGCTACAACAGCAATTGAGTAGTTGCAACAAGCCTGTAGTTTGGCCCTTTTACAGAAAAAGTTTGCCCAACTCCCGCCCTGTATTTCACCTGACTCAGTTACTTAGTTCAGTAAATACAACCCTAAATAGAAAGCCTACAAAAATGGCTTCAGAAGAATAAATTATAAAGGTCATATTACAAAGGAAGACCACCAAAGTTCAGAATATAAATTCTAAAAACTATTTAATTTTAGGATAAAGAAAAACTTAAGGCACAATCGTATTAAAATATTAATTGGTATTTTCCATTGTTCTCCAAAAAAGAACATCTCTCTTAAGTACAGGTAGATAAGTTCTCCCCCAGTTCTAAGGTCACCCATTACCCTGTTTCTTATGTATCTACCAGATAAGCTACAATCACTTTATATAGAAATTGTCAAAAACAAAAAACAAAAAACTAATTGGGACCAAATGGAAGTAGTTGTTTCAGGATTTCCTTTTTTAAACCTAACTTGACAGAGCATCACAAGCATCTATCTCCCAAAGGCTTAAGCCAGTCTTTCGGTAATATCAGACAAATCTCAAAGAACAATATAAGCTCAATAAATGTTACCTGACTGACAGCCTAAAACTACAAAGTCATTTAATCATGATCTAAATCTAGGCATCCAATTGCATGTATCAAGGTCTTAATGATCTTCTGAAAAGCTACTGTCTCTAATAAATCATTTAAATCCTTGAGGTTCAGTCACAACAAAAATGGGCTCACCACCTTTTCTACATCATCAACCTCCTCACTCTGGTAGTCAGAAACAACATCCACAATCTCATCAATAGAATCATCGGTTTTCTCATTCTCATCTTCCTCGTCATCTTCTTCCAAATTCCAGACACCGAAGTCAGCACTGCTTCTCCCACCCTTCTTCTCTTGTTTTGGTTGTATCTGTTCTCTTGATAGCTGTACATGATCTTGAAAATGTCCTTCCCCTCGGCTCCCTTTTGTAGCTCTTCTAGGAATAATAGCAAAGGTTGCAGGACTAGAAATCCTACCCCAAGAATCACATTCAGTTTTGAAAACTCTGGTATTCTCAGTAGTTTCACTTTTTCCAAGTAAATCAGAGACACATTGTTCTTGTTGAAACACATCTAAATTTTCCTGGTAAGTCTTTGTTTCTTTAATTAACTGCTCATCTGCCTCTTTCTTGCATTCTTGTGAAGTTCTAATACATTTCTGGGTCAATGGGCCCTTCAAGTGTTTTCTCCATCTCTCCCTAAGACTGTCCATTAGAAAGTCTCCATTTCCCTTCTCCTTGGCCTCTGCCTGTGGATTAGATGGATGCTTCTCCACAACTATGCTCCCTGATAATTCAAGTTTACAGTCTTCCTTAGAGATAACTGGAAATTTATTTGATTTCTCCTCTGAACTGTCTAATCCTGTCTGCTGTTCCACTTTCACATTACCCAGTTTTTTAAGCTGCACATTACTTATACTTTGGACTATATTACTGGCTCTTTCGGAAATGGTCTTAACTTCTAGAAGAGTCCGTTTTTCTTTAGAACTATTATGATTCCTAACCCCAACTTCAGCAGTATCTTTATAGTCTTCACTTGTGAGTGACACAGTTTTATAGGAGTGCCTAGAAGGTTTATCAGTTGCAGGACCTTCTTCTATAAGGGATTCTTCATCTAAATGATTACCCCCATCCTCCAAGGAATCATTCAGAGTTTCTTCTAAGGCAGTAGCTCTTAAGTTTTGCTTTACATCTTTAGCCTCAGAGTCTACAGCTTCTCCGTCCGACTGTAGGTCCTTCAATTTCTTAGTTTCCTGCTCTCTTTTTAAAACACATGTTCCATCTTTCTGGTCTGCATTCTGGGATTCTCTCTTCTTCTGAAGAGAAGCAACATGTTGAAGAATGGAGCTTGGAACAGGCTTTTGTCCTGGGAGCTGCAACAAGGCAAAACTACCAGACTGGAGAGGAACGAGGCTGGCTGTACCAACAGGCTGCCCTCCTGAGCTACAGGTTATTTTGGTTTCAGAGCCTGTCTTATTTGCTGAGCTTTGTGGCTCAGGCGGGGAAATCCTCAGGGTCAATGTACCAGACTGAGACACAAAACTAGGTCCAGAAGAAAGCAATGATGATGCCTGAGTGATGACATTCACTGCTGGAGAAGACCCAACAGCTTGGATTACAGGACTCATAACAGAAAAACCAGAAGATGAAGCAGTAGTTGGTGGAGTCTCTGAAGGCTTAGAAGGAGTGGGTAACCGGATTCCCACCACAGACCCTGGTAAGAAAAAGAAAACATTAAATCACCACTGACCATATCAAGACTTCCAAAGTATACTTTTCTTTTTGAACAGATGATTCTGAGAGACTAAGAAGACCAATATGGTGTATTAACATCCCATATGGCCAAATAATTCAACAAAAGAGAAACTTATCAAAAGATCTCGTTTTATACCTGGGTTACGAAACATAACAGGCTGTAAGTTGGGCTGGGTATTAGAGCTTCGAAGCTGATGCAAAGGGAGGAGCTGAACAATCTGCCCATTAGGGTGTCTGAATAGGTTCATTCCACTTGGGCTCCTAATAGGCTGCAAGACCATCCGGTGTCCTGGAAGTTGTGTGTTTGAGACAGGTCTAAGATTAGGAGAACCCTGCTGCACTGGAATCAATAACAATCGAGGTCCAGCACGTTTCACTGGGTTAGGAGAAACCTGTGGCGTAGCCACTGAAATTTGAGGAGCATTTTCTGAAAAACAGGAAATAGAAACATAGTATCAGAATTTCCCTTTAACACATGTAGGGGGAAAAAAATTTAAGATCTGACCATGCTACAAATAACTTCTAATTTGAATTATAAAGTTGTTGAAATCCTGTACCTCTATGATACACTATTTAGTAGTCCTATAGCTGAGAACAGTTTATCTTAAAAGTATTAACCAGACACTGCAGAGCCTTAAATTTAAACTGGTAAGGAGAAAAAAAAAAAAAAGGCATCAATTGTCAAGAGGTTTCCTTAAAAAGACAATGCTGCCTAATGAAAAACCACGGGCGGCCTCTAAATCTGGATTGTCACTAAAGCTACATAAGGAACCCTCTCCACGTGGGAGTCTGTACTTGTTCTTCAATAAACTTCCACCTTTGTAAAAACAACAAAAGTTAAAGAGATCATTCTTGATAACAGCCTGAATTTTAAAGTTGAAGAAGAGAATTTAACACTTACTAGTCTTATGACTTAGTTTCACAGGTCATGGTCAAATAAGATAAAGTCAAGAACTAAAAAAAACTTCACACTTCTTGGCTTTTAAAATTCACTGACAAATCAGCTGGGTAAAGATTTGTGGAAATTGTTTTTCACAAAGAAAAAAATGCATTCCCCCCCCCCCCCCCCCCCCCCCCCCCCGCAAAAATGGAATGAAAGTAAGAGACATCGAAGAAGCAGGGAAATAAAGTCTGGTTAGGAAGAGGCAAAAGATAGTTTTAAAACAAACAGAAAAACAAAAATTTAATGCAGAAGATGTGAATTAAGAGAATTAAAACCATAAATAGTATCTAAAGATGCACTTTAATGTTTGGAAGAGAAATTTAGAAATACTAAAGACATAGGAAACGTAATACGAGTAATCTACAGATAGATTTCTGGTCAAGGGGATAAAGAGGTAGGAATAATAATAAGAAGCATAAATAAAACTGGTCTAATATTACCATTCAAATTAGGGAAGTTACCTAACATCATATATAGTAAAGATGTAATATGCAAATTGACCATCACTCCAACACAAAAGATGGCTGTCTGTCCCCATGTGGACAAGATGGCCACCACAAGATGGCCAGCAGGGGAGGGCAGTTGGGGGTGATCAGGCCAGCAGGGGAGGACCAGGTCTGCAAGGGAGGGCAGTTGGGGTAGACACAGGCCTGCAGGGGAGGGCAGTTGGGGGCAACCAAGCCAGCAAGGGAGAGCAGTTAGGGGCAATCAGGCCAGCAGGGTAGCAACTGGGCATCAATCAGGCTGGCAGGGGAGTGGTTAGGGGGTGATCAATTTGGCAGGCAGAAGCGGTTAGGGGCAATCAGGCAGGCAGGCAGGCGAGCGGTTGGGAGTCAGCAGTCCTGGATTATGAGAGGGATGTCCCAGATTGGAGAGGGTTCAGGCTGGGCTGAGGGAAACACCACCCCATGCACAAATTTTGTGCACTGGGCCTCTAGTTATTAATAAATCTTTTCATTACTTTGTCAATAAATAGAAAAATCAACTAACCAAAACCATACAGATTTAACATATAATATCCCATCAGATAGGCATTCTGCCCATGAAACATCAAATATCTAAAAGAAAGTCATATTCAGAACATTTATATGACAAATTACATTTAGAAGATCCAGGACTTCTCTTGAAAACAAAATAAAACAAAGAGAACTATTTCTTAAAAAAATAAAAATAAAAATAGTGTGCAATGTAAAAACATTCACATATAATATGTGAATTAAACATATTAAAGCATTAATTTCCTGACCATTTCTATTTAAATTAAGATTTAAAGAATAATTCAAAATTAAATTACTCCAGTTCAGATAACGAAAGCAGCTTTTAATACACATGCTAAATATTAAATATTTGTTTCTTGAAATGTGGGAGGGGCAAGAGAAAAAGAAGGAAAGTCAAATGAAAAAGCACAGATACCTATTTTTTTTTTTGGGGGGGGGGGTAATTAACCCTCACCCGAGGCTATTTTTCCATTAATTTCTAGTCAGAGTGGAAGAGAGAGAAACATCGATGTGAGAGAAACACATTGATTGATTGCCTCTTGCACGCACCCCTACCAGGGACAGAGCTGGGGAGGAGCCTGCAAAAAATTATGTGCCCTTGACCAAAACTGAACCAGAGACCCTTTGGTCCACAGGCCAAACCGGCTAGGGCAAAAAAGCACAGATATCTAAGTGCCTGAGTTGGGAGCCTCTAATGAACCTAGAACAAATTGCATTCTTCCTTAGCCATAGCAGTTATCTAAGTCAGCTCCATGTGTAAAAGAGCAGACAAGAAAATCTGTTAACCTATTTCTTCAAATGGTATTAGAATAAGTTTTAAGTGGTATATGAATGTAGAATAATCCCATATTACATTGGCAGAAAGTAATTCCTTTTTCAATTTTTAATTTTTTATGATTTTATACAGAAGAATGTCCCAGTATTTGATGTTGTCTTTAATATTATGCCAGTATTTTCTAGCTTTCTTCATTAACAGAGAGCTAGCCACATGCTAAAAACATTATGGTAGATAGATAAAAATTATTTTTTATTATTGTTTCCAGTGCATTTACTTATGGGATTAACCTCTATTTTTGCAAGTAATGCTGGTTTCCAATTATAGTAAGATTGCTCCTTTTACAAATAAACAAGCCCTGGCCTGTGCACCAGAGTGTCACAGGTTCGATTCCTGCCCTCAGTCCAGGTGCAAATAAGAGGCTACCAATCGGTGTCTCTTTCACATCAATGTGTCTCTCTCTCTCTCTTTCTCTCTCTCTCTCTCTCTCTCTCTCTCTCTCTCTCTCTCCTTTCCTCTACCCTCCCACCGTTTATATATATATGATATAAACAAACTTAAGGCCTGGCTGGTATTCCTCAGTGGTTCGAGTATCAGCCTGTGCACTAAAGGGTCATGGGTTCAATTCCCAGTCAAGGGCATATACCTAGGTTTCAGGTTTGATGCCAGGCCCCAGTCAGGGCACCTGCATGTAAGAGGCAACCAATCAATGTGTCTCTCTCACGTTGATATTTCTCTCTCCCCCACCCGCCCAAGCTCCTATCCTCCCTCTCTAAAAATCAGTGGAAGAAATACCCTTGGGTGAAAAGTAGCAAAAACAAGCAAGCAAACTTAAATAACAAATGAATTGATTTAAATAAAAATATTAAGTCAATGCAGTACAAATGGGAATAAGAGCAAGATACATGAATGTATAATCTGAGTGACTAAAATCCAAGAAACAATGAACCACCAAAAACTAAATGACTCTATAGTTTCATGACAGAATTAAAAATATAAAGGTTGGAATCCCTATGAATTAGAAAACATGAATAGTTAAAACGTGACAAGATATAAATCTTTAAAACGTGACAAGATATAAATCTTGAGATTCCATAGGAAATCAAAGCAGCTTCAACAATGATCTCACTTCTAAAAATGAATATTAAACTAACCAATTTTATATGCTTATTAGGAGAAGCAGAAGACCAGTACATTTAATATTATGGCTCACTTTCCCTTTCAATGGAACTTTTAACTTATAAACAAAATCTAAGTCACTTCTTTCCTAAAATATCAGCAGGGATTTGGACCATGTCACTAAAGGCAAAAATATTTAGTAGTAAAAGTATCACTACCCAAGAGAGAATTGCTGTTGGCTATTTATTTCCCCTTAAAGCCTGCAAAGTCTCTCACTCTTTTCCACAGAAAATCCTCTCTCAGTACACTAAGAAAATTACTTACTTTAATTGGTTGAATTAGGATAGAAAAATTACCACAAAGTGTGAAATATTCCTATTTCAAATTCACTTAACCTAAGTCAACAACAACAAAAAATTTAATTTTGACTAAAAAGTTGATAAGCATATAAAGTATTAGATTCCTAAGTGAAGAAATATGCCTCATTTCTATTTCTATCAGTTCATGTATAATAATTAAGTAGGAGAATAATGTCAGAAATATATTGGAGTTGGACTCACAAATGATTTTTACTAGGCAAGCGACCCAGAATTTTAACCTTCAGCAAAGACAAAGAAAAAGCCCTTAGCTTGGTCAGCATAGGCAGAAGCCAATAATCTTTTTTTCCCCAATTAAAAAGAAACACTACCCCACCCCTAAAAAGGGAGCACAGCCAGGGCTCTCCTTGCGTGCTCTCCTCAGAGATGTGTATCCCTAGCTCACAAAAGACTGCCCTTTCTCTAGTGTCTACTTTAATGGCTGCTCTATTACTGGCTCAGAGCTCCATTCCCATATGCATTTTTTCAGTATCCTTCATCCACCATTTCCATTAGAATGTTTTGAGTATTTTTAATATATTGAAGAAATCGCCAGCACCAAATTATCTGTCAAAACTGTTCAATTATCACTAAGGAACCATTTATGGTTATTATTGCTCTATAGCAAGGTTACATAGATTCTTAATGATTTGTCCTAGTCCTGTATTAACAATGAGCTAACTCTGTTATTTTTAAGGGTTCAGTTTTACAGAATGCAAAGGTTTTCAGGAATACATGTATCATGTTAGTTTCTACACTATTACCCTCATATATCTAAAATCCTATCATAAACCGCCAAGTTATATGAACAGCTGTATAGTAAACCAGCTAGTTAACATCTAGGCCTTACCTGGTCTCTGGCTCACTGGTGGACTCCCATCAATTCCTGAGAGTATAATGGGAACAGAGCCAAGGGATGAAGTTGGTGTGGTCACCACGGAGGAAGATGTAGCTGTGGTCACCACGACTATGGAGGTGGAAGCAGTGGAAGTAACAGGAAGAGTTATGGTTGGAGGAGATGCCACCAAAGACTTAGGAAAAGCAACTGAAGCCACAGGGGAAGTTATCCCAGTTGTTTTGATAAGGTTCACAGTGCCTGTAGATTGGGTAGATGTTACAGGGGTGCTGGTATTAGTTTCAGAGACCTCAACAACACCCGCAGTGGTGGCACCAGAAGGACAAGTAGTTTCTTTAGTTCCCATGTCAGACATAGCAGTCTTAGGTGTCACAGCAGTAACATTCTCTAAAAACACTTGAGGGGTGGTAGTAGTGACAGCAGCAGTCACAGGGCTGCACACCTCAGAAGAAACCACAGGTGTGACGACCATTACTGGAGAAGGTCTGATACTGAACTTCTGTGGCCCTGTCAGGGGTTGGGGTGTGCTAACTCCGGGTATCTTCTGCTGCAGGGCTCCAACTTTACTCATCACAAACTGTGTGAACACACCACCAGGAGAGGGTCGTGCCGCTGCAAATAAAAATTTGCAGGTCAAAAATCTTCAGTTCTCATATTTTATCCTCTTAGTGATTGTGTTTATCAACCATTTATTGTGTGTACCACTGGGTCCACTTCTTACGGGTACTACCTTCCTGCAATATACATGTCAATTTCTATATACAGAAATCAAAACACTTCCCTCAGCCCATATCCAACTTTTATAATCTAACAAGAAAGGAATTAAAATTGGGTGTTCCTACTAAAAATCTTTTGTCTGCACAATATAGCCATATTGCCAGGACATTAAAAAGACAATATAGCTGCCCTGGCCATGTGGCTCAGTTAGCTCAAGTATTATCCTGTACACCAAAAGGCTGTGGGTCTGATTCCTTGTCAGGGCACATGCCTAAGAAGGGAGTTCAAAGGGGTGTGTACGACAGGCAACCAATAGATGCTTTTCACATTGATGCCTCTCTCTCTCTCTCACTCTCACTTTCTAAAAATCAGTGAAAACATTTCCATCCTCAGGTGAGGATTGAAAATAAATTTTAAAATTAAAATAAAAAGATAATACAGCAGCACACAACTTCAAACAGATAAAGAAAAGAAGATTCCCCCCGTCCCCGCTTTTTAACTAACTTAAAATTTTTTCCACCACTACTTCCTATCCCAGTCCCTCCATCTCTTTATTGCAGTCCTCTTATAAGACAGTTTAGATTTACTATCTTATTTTTAAACTGTACGAAAACATTTTTCATGAGAGGGCAGAATAGGACTATTTATTTTTTAAATCACCACTACTTTATAAAAAAAGAGATAAAATGGGTTTCTTTCCCTCTATCCTCCCACAACTCTAGCATTCAGCCAGAGACTTCAATTTCCTATTAGAGGAAAAAACATAGTAATAGAAAATTTTACTTAACATTCCTAAAAAGATTTGAAACAACAAAAAGAAATTCAATAAACCAACTGTTTATACTCTCAATGCTAAAACACAAAGGTTTTCAAGAAAGTAATTTATTATAGACTCTAGCACTAAAGTTAAGCAAAAGATTTTCATTCAAAGAACAGGGATGAATAGAATAATCTTCCCAAAATTATGTTTTCCAACAGCCTTCTATACTTTAAGCCTATTCTAACTCAATCTGATTTTGCTAGCTCTATTGTTTAAGAAGTTCAAGGAACATGCACATGATTGGTACCAATAACACCAGTCCTCATAAAAGAAATGTTAAATTAGGGAAAAGTACTTAAGACCATGTGTTGTCCTTTTAAACATAAAATTAAAAACTATGTTTTTTTCTGCATTAATAAAAGTTTAAAAGTTTGGGCAACACTGAGGGGGAGCGAAGCCCGCAAGGCTGAGCCACTGCTGAGACCGCAGGGGGCACTGACACTCCAGGGACAGCCCCTTCCATTTGTTTTCTTTGCTTGTTTTCTTTACTTCTGATAACAGGACTCCATGGGCATTTGGGAACAATTTTATTTTTTTCTGGTATAACAGTAAGTAGAACCTTATTTTATTTTTTTTTTTCAAAAAAGAAAGAAAAGAAAGGGGGGGGGAAAGAAGTTTGGGCAATAATTGTAAAACTAAAGTTCAATTAATCTAGTATTATAGGTCATCATTAGTAGCGTTCCCAAAATATTTGAGCAAGACAGACATTGAGAATAATGTCAAATTTTTTATTCCTCTACTTTTTACAATCTCTATACTATATCCACAGGCCAAGAAGCAAGACACAAATCTTTCCAAAACATATACATTACAACTTACCAATTGGCCTTTTTGCCGGGACAAATGCCTTCAGATTCTTCCCAGGGTGATTTGTTGCAGTGCCAGAGGAGGATGCCATTTTGGAATTGGATGTTGAAGGCAACAGGGTACGTGGTTTCCTGGATGCAGCCACCTTGGCATTGGATGCTACCTTGGAGATGACAGTACTGAGGGTTGAGAGGTCCAGGACTGAGGGTCGCAACCTGCCTGTGATATAAGCAGCTAGCCTATTGGCTGGATGCAATGCCCCCATCTGTCCCAATAGCAACTTAGCCTGCGGGTAACTCTTACCATTAACCTGAAACAAGTGGCAAAGAGAAATTCTGTAAAGATAAAATTCTCTTGCTAACTCATCTCCCTTGACAGGGGTTTCATTTTTACAAGGTTTTAAAAGTCTATTTTTCATATTTATAGGGAAAAAGAAATGGGCTTTTCCCACTTGGTATAATTGGAATAATCAGGAGGTGGAAAAAAAATACTATTATCTGATCTTATAAATTAACCTCATCCTTCATTTTAGTAATTTGGAAACAGAGACTCTTATTAAATCATTATATCTGCATCGCAGAAATGGGAAAGATACATCAAACCTAAACAATCATCCAATTATTTTACTTTGTCAATAAGCAATTCTGGTTAAGTTGTTAACAATCATCAGCAAAAATGACTAACTGTATTCTCCAGATTTTCTGACAAGACTAGAAAGGCATAATGAAGCCCTCTCACAATGGTCCTTTCAAGCTACCCTTCACATTTGGGAAATATACAATGAATCTAACCTAAGTCATAAAGTAACCTTAGTTTTCTAAAAACTCAACTTTGAAGATATTGTCTTCATCTCTTGGATAAAACTTGGGCTGGCTCAAAATAAATGATAGTAGAAACTCATTGTGATTTTTGAAACAGTCACTAAATTGTCAGAAGAAAGTAAATCAATGAATGAAGTAAAGATTTTTTTTCTACTACCTGAATTGTCAGACTGCCTAATTTGGGCAGCAGGAAAGTTTTTCCTTCTTACCCATGTTCTCTAAATTATATTGCTGGGTTAGTAAAGAAGATATCCTTTTTTGTCCCTCTTTTATATCACTTAAAAAGAGGAGGAGGTAGAGGGAGTTGGAGAAACTCAAATTCTCCAAATTAATATGGAATTGGTGAGGAGAATCACTATAGCAAGCCACTCTCTCTTCAAGGACACAAACATAATTACTCTTTGCTACTTAAGTAAAATTGTGATTATTCCTAGATAATCAGATATATCTTTGCCTATGTTGATACAAAAAAATATGATCTTTCTATCCTAAAGTAAATGTTACTGTGTTTTTCAGGCTCTATGGAGTCCAGATCAGATATCCCTAATCTGCTCCTTTGAGAGACTTGCCCTAAACATTACTCAACAGTTTTCCCAACAGTGGCCTGACTGCTTATGTAAATTCACATTTTATGATGGTTTTCTGAGTCCTATACAGAAGAAGAGAACACAAAATGTCCATGCCTATATTTCAGGGAGTCTAGACTCTCTAGAAATGATCTCAGGTAAATCTTGGCTCTCAAAGTATTAATAAATGCAATAAAGAGAAAACCCTGTTCTACTCATCATTAAAGAATTAAATACCAACAGAAGCAGTTATATAGGACCACCAAGAATAAACAGCAATAAAAAATTTTTAAGTAGATCATCCATATTGTTATTGGAATAGTCCTTAGCCCAGAGAAGCAGTCAAGCTAATACAGTCAAGTAACCTTAGCAATAATGTCAGACACTTCCACACATTTGCTATGCTGATATAAAAGTGCATTTAATGTCTCTGAGCAAGAGGAGAAAACCTTTTTGACTATGACTAAATTTTAATTCAGAATTTCTCTTTCCAAAGGCTTTTCTACATGCCAGGGTAATTTTACTAATATAACCTGCCTGAATTACTTAACAGTAAGGGTAGAGATATTTTTCCTGCAACTATGATTATACTGACAAAACCCCTATGAATCATACAAAGAAAAAAGTATTTAAGCAAGCAAATTGTGGCTCATTTAAAAAAACTTTAATGATTTGAATAACACCTTAATTTTTCTCCAAGTTTCCAAACATATGCTGCCTATTTTAAAATAAATTTGATCTCATTTAATTTGAAAGCTTTCTTCTAATAATAATCTCAAGAACTAAACTGAATCCCTTACTATCCTTGCTTGGTTGCTAAAGAATCACTAGAACCAGACAATGGAGTTTAAGAGGAACAACTTTCTGAGGAGACTAGGGTCTACATTTGTTTATAAGTATGACAAAAATTCACTCTAGGTATGCTTCTAACCTAGACCTATTACAAAAAGAGATAATTATTTTGTCACTCAGTTCCCAGGCAATGTGAAACAAGTTATATAAGGCCCACAGAGGGCTCTGAAAAATAAAGGTGTTACCTAAATATAAAAAAGTGCTACACCCAGATTAAAGGTAATTCTCACCTGGATAAGCCCAGATGTGCTTGAACTGGGTTTACGTTTATAGGCCACAAGTTTCCCTGCAGGAGAAAGCCCTGCATAAAAGGGCAGACCTTTGCCTCCATGTAATCTCTCCCTCACTGAATCCAGGGCATCTGTCTGCACAGGAGAGATATCATCCATTTTCCCAGGGGATAATGGACCATCAGGAGTCTCTGATCCAGATTTCTCAGCCATATCATCTTGGTCTTGACATGATGGCATAGAGATTTTCACACGAGAAGAATAAACAGGGGGGCTCTTCTCACCCCGGCTCTTTCGCTGAGAAGCCAACTCAATGATGAAGCTGCCCACCTTAAGTGACTGTGGCATGTTGCTATTGATGTGCTGGGATAAGATGCTCAATATCTTGTTCCGATCCTCCTCCCAGTTGCAGTCTGAGATGATTTCTATCAGTTTGGTGGGACCACCAGGTGACCTCTGATGCACATAGGAGGTAGAAGAGGATTCCCCTTCATTGCAGGAAGACTTCCAGCTCTTTTCTGGTAAGAAATTAAAAGATATTTCTATATTAAAGCAATTTACACTCAACTTTGAAAGATTTTTACTTTCCCTAAGTTCTCAGAAAAGTACCAGGGGTATAGAAATTCAACAGTTGCGCTGGTTTGGCTCAGTGGATAGGGTGTCAGCCTGTGGATTCAAAGGTCCCAGGTTCGATTCCGGTCAAGGGCATGTACCTTGGTTGCGGGCGCATCCCCAGTGGGGGCTTTTCAGGAGGCAGCTGATCGATGTTTCTCTCTCATCGATGTTTCTACCTCTCTATCCTTCTCCTTTCCTGTCTGTAAAATCAATAAAATATATTCAAAAAAAGAAAAAGAAATTCAACAGTTGCCTGGGGGAAACCAAGATGGTGGCATAGGTAAACACCTAACTACTGCCTCACACAACAATTTCAACTAAACACAAAATGTTGCCAGGACCGGTTTAGCTCAATGGATAGAGCGTCGGCTTGGGGACTGAAGGGACCCGGGTTCGATTCCGGTCAAGGGCATGTACCTTGTTGCGGGCATATCCCCAGTGGGGGGTGTGCAAGAGGCAACTGATCGATGACTCTCTCTCATCGATGTTTCTAACTCTCTATCTCTCTCCCTTCCTCTCTGTACAAAATCAATAAAAATATATAAAAAAAAAATAAAAATAAAAAATAAAAAAATAAAAAAAAATAAACACAAAATGTTTATCACCTAGAACCATGGGAAAGCTGGCTGAGTGGAAGTTCTACAACTAGAAGGAAAGAGAAGAGCACTGAGATGTGCACAAGCGCTGAAAAGCTGGTGTACGGAGGCGCAAATGAGGCTGGCAGCGGGTGTCTGGATGCACTGCTTTTTTCAACCCGAAGGGAGACAAGCTCCCCAATTACTCTGAACTCGTTTCTGGGGAGATGTTGGGGACCCAAACTCCTACGGGGAGAAGCTGGACTGTCTGCCATTGGGTTGGAAAGTAAGGGTGGCTTTCTTGCAGAGGTGTACACAGCAATCATTGTTTACCTCGCTGGAGCACAAAACAAGGGGAGAGGGAAACTCGGAGACAGAGATGGCTGACTGTGCCAGCCGCACAATCTACAAACCCACCCAAGCTCCACACAGCGACTTTTGCATATAAATGGCCTGCCCTATCACAGCCTAACAAACTGCAGCTCTGGTCAGACAGCTCCAAAACCTCCAAACCCCAAAGAGGAGAAAATTGTAGTTCTCTCTATAACTCCTGCTGGGTGGCCTCAGACAGTAGCTGACCTGCACCCCATTGGAGATCCAGAAGCTAGTGTAGCAAGCGGTCAGTGAGACGACACCAGATTTCAACTACTCACATCCATGAATTGACACATTCAAGAGGCAGACTCAGTAAGCACCAAAGCCCCACTAAAACAAGTCCTGCCCCATAAGTGTGTCTCTAGCACAGCAGTTCTTCCATTATAGACACAGCGGGTCCTCACAGCCAATTGACCTAGAGATCAATTCTTCCCAGTGTACCAACATCAATCAAGGCTTAACTATTCCAAGACTATGCACTTAGCCCAGTATACCAAGAGCGTCCACCTCAGGTGATGGGGGAGGCAGAGCCACTGGGTCCTATAGGTAACCTACCACAGAAAACCACTCCATCAACACAGGGAAGCAGCAAAATGCGGAGACAAAGAAACATGTCATGAATGAAAGAAATGGAGGAAAGCAAACTACTGGACATAAGAGTTCAAAACCACATTTATAAGGTTACTCAAGAATATTCTAAAAACTGCTGAGAAACTTGATGAGCCCTCTGTGGAGCTTAGTGAGACCTTCAAGGACCTTAATTAAAATGCAAAAAAAATTGAAAAGGACCAGTCAAAAATTGAGCTACACTGTCTGAAATAAACTATATAGACATTCAACTGTAGATCAAAGGTCCCCAAGAATCAAACCAAAGATCTGAAATATGAGGAAACAAACAAACAAACAAAATACCCAACCAGAAAATCAAAAAGAAAAAAGAATTCAAAAAGTTGAATATAGTGTAAGGTGCCTCTGGGACAACTTCAAGCATACCAACATGAAATTATTGGGGTGCCAGAAGAAGAGAAAGAGCAAGATATTGAAAACCTATTTGAAGAAATAATGACTGAAAACTTTCCCTACCTGGTGAAAGAAATAGACTTACAAGTCCAGGAATAGCACAGAACCCCAAACAAGAGGAATCCAAAGAGGACCACATCAAGACACATCGTAATTAAAATGCCAAGGGCAAAAGACAAAGAGAGAATATTAAAAGCAGCAAGAGAAAAACAGTAACCTACAAGGGAGTACCCATATGACTGTCTACTGATTTCTCAACAGAAACTATGCAGGCCAGAAGGGAGTGGCAAAAAATATTCAAAGTGATGAATAGCAAGAACCTACAACCAAGATTACTCTACCCAGCAAAGCTATTATTCAGAATTGAAGGCCAGATAAAGAGCTTCACAGACAAGAAAAAAGCTAAAGGAGTTCACTACCACCAAACCAGGATTATATGAAATGCTAAAGGGTATTCTTTAAGAGGGAAAGAAGAAAAAGGTAGAAATAAAAATTATGAACAACAAAATGACAACAAATACATACTTACCAACAAGTGAATCTAAAAATCAAATGAATAAAAAAAATCTGATGAACAGAATGGACTGATGAATATAATAAAATCAGGGACATAGAAAGGGAGCAGACTGACAATTCTCAGAGGGAAGAGGGTATGAGGGGTGCGGAAAGAGACTGAACAAAAATTTTACACCTATGGATAAAGACAGTGGTGGGGGGTAAGGGCATGGGGTGGGGTGGGGAATCATGTGGAGGGGAGCTATGGGGGGAGAGGGGAAAAGAGGAACACCTGTAATAATCTAAATAATAAAGATTTATTTTTAAAAAATTTCAACAGTTGCTCAATGTCTCATTCCCACATATTTTATGTGGTAATTTAACACTCATAACTTGGGGAGTTTTCCAAGAAAAAGATGCCAGAGAATCAGATTATAATAGTCCTCACTCTCCTGCTAACTAGGCTTTCTAATAAAAAGGAAATGGTCCCACTTAAGACTGTTCGAAAAACCCCTATTACATGAAAAAGTATTATCTTACTAACAAAAGACCTATAAGCAAGGTTAAAGCTTATTTGGTACTAGAGGCCCAGTGTACGAATTTGTGCACAGGTGGGGTCCAGCCACCCTGCCCCAATGGAAGCCGATTAGGCAGGGTCGGGGGGGGGGGGGGGGGGGGGGGGGGGGGGGGGGATGTGAAAGGTTAGCTGATAGGCCCTGCCCCCAATGGGATCAGGGGCTGGGCCGGCCGAAGGGAGTGGTCTTGGGAGGTTGGACACTGATCAGGCCAGTTGGCCACCCCAGTGTGCATCATAGCAACTAGTCATTCTAGTCTCTTGGCTTTTATAGAGATAGTTTAATGTTCTGCTATCCATATAGGCAAAGAAAAGATACTTGCCAGATGCTTTGTAACATATGATAGGCAATCAGTACCAAAAAACAGCAAAACAGATAGTGATCTGGTTTAAAAACACATATACATAAAACTACCTCTAGTTTCTACTGCAAATATTTTTGAATCACTTTTTGTTTTTCACTTCTGAAATATATTTGTACATCTAGATAGGATTGCTCCACTTCTACATTGTGTGCAGATCACTCAATTCACCATGTTTTTACATGTTAACTAGGTGTCTACTTACTAGACACCAAGATTTCTACAGCTGACCCTCTCAACCAAAGTTCTACAGTTACAGGTATGACAGAATATAAGATTCTATCAGCCTACATAGTAGTCATGCTCTCAGGAAGGATTTCTCCACCATAGCAGGATCCTCTAACTACCTTAGTGTACTGTAAAACATTTTCACTTTTTGTGTATATTATGCTTCCTTAAAAAAAAAGTTGGAAACCTCTGCTGCTTTAGTGTCTGAAGTCTTTCTTAGGAAGCAAAACCAAAAACAAATAGTTAACTCCCTAAACATTATCTTTCACCAAATTTGGCAGTAGCCTCTGCTAGGTAAATACTTCCTTTGTCCCTCTGCCATTTCTCCAACAGCAATATCTACTGAGAACCTGAGTAAAAATTTCAATAGCTAGCCAGGACCAGTTTGGCTCAGTGGATAGTGTGTCAGCCTGCGGACTGAAAGGTCCTGGGTTTGATTCCGGTCAAGGGCATGTACCTTGGTTGTGGGCGCATCCCCAGTGGAGGGTGTGCAAGAGGCGGCTGGTCGATGTTTCTCTCTCATCAACGTTTCTCTCTCATCGACGTTTCTAGGTCTTTATCCCTCTCAATTCCTCTCTGTGTAGAATCAATAAAATATATATATTTTTTTAAATTTCAATAGCTAAACAAATGAGACTGAGGTTTAAAAAAAGTTTAAAAAAAGAAAATCACAGCCTAGCCAGCATGGCTCAGTGGTTGAGCATTGATCTAAAACCAGGAGGCCACAGTTCTATCCAGTCAGGGCATATGCATATGCCAATGTGGAAAATGGGACATGCAGGAGGCAGCTGATCATTGATTATCTCTCATCACTGATGTTTCTATCTCTCCCTCCCTCTCCCTTCCTCTCTGAAATAAATATATAAATATAAATATATAGCCAAAACTGGTTTGGCTCAGTGGATAGAGCATCGGTCTGCAGTCTGAGGGGTCTCAGGTTTGATTCCAGTGAAGGACATGTACCTTTGGTTGTGGGTACATCCCCAGGAAGTGTGCAGGAGGCAGCTGATCAATGTTTCTCTCTCACTGATGTTTCTAACTCTCTATCCCTCTCCCTTTCTCTCTGTAAAAAAAAAAAAAAAAAAAAAAATCAATATATTTTTTTAAAGTTTTAAAAATACATATATCCTACCTAAAAGAGTAATATACAAATTAACCACCACTCTGCTACACTCACAAGCCATGCCCACTACCCACACCCACCAGCCAATCAGAGCAAGTATGCATATAAACCCAACCAAGATGGCTACAGCCATAGAGAGCAGGAGGGAGGCTTGGTTTTCATAGGCAAAGGAAGAAGCCAAGCTTTCTGCCTGCTCTTGCCGGACTAAGCCTCCACTGAAGGCTACAAAGTTTCAATTATAGAAGATACAAAAAATTCCAACAGAGCAGAAGGCTTGGCTCCACTCCAGGCTACAAAGTTTCAATTGTAGAAGGTAAATAAATTCCAGATACCAGGGCCTCTGCTTGAGTCCCCAGGGGGCGTGACTGGTCTGCAAACCACCACAGGCCCCTCACTCAGGCCGCCCAACCCCCAAAGGAACCTCCACCCTAATCTGGGACCCCTTCAGGGCAAACCAGCTGGCCCCCTCCCATGCACCAGGCCTCTATCCTATCTAATAAAAGAGTAATATGCAGATTGACCATCACTCCAACACACAAGATGGCTGCCCCATGTGGTCAAAGATCCTGCCCCCATGTGGACACAAGATGGCACCACAAGATGGTCAGCAGGGGAGGGCAGTTGGGAGGCACCAGGCCTACAAGGGAGGGCAGTTGGAGGAGATCAACTCTGCAGAGGAGGGCAGTTATTAGTGACCAGGACGGCAGAGGAGGGAAGTTGGAAGCAAACAGGCTGGCAGTGGAGCAGTTAGACATCAATCAGGCTGGCATGGGAGTGGTTAGGGGGTGATCAGGCTGGCAGGCAGAAGTGGTTAGGGGTAATCAAGAAGGCAGGCAGGCGAACAGTTGGGAGCCAGCAGTCCTGGATTGTGAGAGGGATGTCCGACTGGCCTCCAGGGGTCCCAGATTGGAGAAGGTGCAGGCTGGGCTGAGGGACACCCCACGGGCCCTGTGCACGAATTTTATACACTGGGCCTCTAGCATATGCATATATATATATATATATATATATATATATATATATATTTTTTTTTTTTTTTTTTTTTTTTAATTACTAACAAGACAGGGATATTCACTTTCACCATTTTTATTCAACATAGTACTGAAGTCCTAGCCACAGAAATTACACAAAAAATAAAAGGCATCCAAATTGGAAAGAAGTAAAACTGTCATTATGTGCAGATGACATAACTGCATATGAAGAACCCTAAAGATTCCACCAAAAAAACTACTAGAACTGATAAACTCAGTAAAGTAGCAGGATACAACAAAAAATACTCAGAAATCAGATGTATTTTTATATATCATTAATAAACTATCTGAAAGAGAAACTAAGAAAACAATCCCATATACAACTACCTTCAAAAAAGAAAAACATGCCTAGGAATAAATTTAACCAAGGAAGTAAAAGAGCTGTATCCAAAAAAAATTGTAAGACAATGAAAAAATTAATTGAAGATACTAATAAATGGAAGTATATACCATACTCATGGATAGAAAAAATTGATATAATAAGTAATAATACAAGAATAAACTGTGTTTCACATACAACTGTAAACCTACTTTTGCCCCAACCTGCACACTAGGAACATATAAGTCAACACCAAAAGATAAACAAAAGAATCCAATTAAAATATGTGCAGAGGACCTAGACATTTCTCCAGAGGACATACAGATGGCCAATAGATATATGAAAAGATGCTCAATGTCACTAATTATCATAGAAATGCAAAGTAAAAACACAATGAGATATCACCTCATATCTGTCAGAATGTTCATTATCAATAAATCTATAAACAAGTGTTGCCAAGGATGTTGAGAAAAGGGTACTCTTGTGCACTGTTGGTGGGAATACAGATTGGTGCAGTTACTGTGGAAAATAGGATGGAGGTTCTTCAAAAAAAAAAATTAAAAGTGGAACTACCTTATGACCAGCAATTCTGCTTTTGGGCACATATTCAAAGAAACTCAAAACACTAATTAGAAAGGAAATGTGCACCACTACGTTCACTGCAGTGTTATTTACAATAGCCAAGATTTGAAATCAGCCCAAGTGTCTATCAGTAGAGGAGTGGATAAAAAAGTATGTAGCCCTAGCCAGTTTGACTTAGTGGCTAGAGTGTCAGCCTGGGAACCAAAGGTGGGTCCCATGTACAATTCCAGTGAAGGGCATGTTGAACCTTGGTTGCAGGCTCCTCCCTGGCCCAAACCCCGGTCAGGGGTCATGTAGGAGGCAACCAATCGATGTATTTCTTTCACATCTAAATTCCTCTCTGTCTTTCCCTCTGTTATCCACTCTCCCTAAAATTTAATGGAAAAATATCCTTGGGAGAGAATTAACAAAAATGAATTTTTTAAAAAAGCTATTGTACATACATATCTACAGTAGAATATTACTCAGCCTTTAAAAAGAATGAAATCTTACCGTTTGCAACAGCATGGATGGACCTAGAAGGTATTATGCTAATTGAATAAGTCAGAGAAAGATAAACACCATATGATTTCACTTATATGTGGAATCTGAAGAAAAAACAAAATTTAAATGGACTCATAGATATCCAGAGAACAGACTGATGGCAGAGAAGAGGGGGAGAGGGAGCTTGGGGAACTGGCTGAAAATGGTGAAGGGATTATTAAGAAATACGAATTGGTAGTCACAAAACAGTCACAGGAATATAAAGTACAGCACAGGAAATTCAGTCAACAATATTGTAATATTGTAATAACTATGTATGGTGCCAGGTAGGTATTAGAAATATCAAGGGAAACATTTTGTAAAGTTTATGATCATCTAACCACTATGCTGTACACCTAAAACATACAAAATAATATTAAAATATTAAATGTAAACTGTAATTGAAAAATAAAATTAAAAAGAAAATCACTGACTTTAATCCTAAATGTCTCTTGCAACAACATGCCACAACAATGAATGAATTTTATTTCTTAGGACAGGAGTGATAAAGAGACCAAATAACAGGAAAAAACTTATATCATCTCTATTTTTAGCAGAAGCTAAAAACAGAGTAGGTCAACATATTATGGATTGGTAATTTTAGTTTCCTCTCATTTTTATTATAATCCACACATATATAATTACTATCAAATAATTAAGATCTGGTTTTCATGCTGACCTTGTGATTTATCAGAATCATCCTCGAGGTCACAGGTAATTGGTTTCGAGGGCTGTTGTTCAGCATCGGGCTCCTGAAGAAGAAATAACACAAAAATACTTAAATACTTATATTGATGTTTAGTATCACTAAAGACTAGGATATAAGATTAAATCTTCCAAAAGAAGTCCTGAAACAGTAGAAAGATTAAAATGACAACAGCTTCATATCTATATACACAGCTGCATTACTATCATATTACATGTGGCAAAAACACATAGTACACTTGCTCTGTAATATCCCTGATAATGACTGAGTCACCAAGAAAAGAATTTATATAGTATTTTATATTGTATTCTATCAATACTAAAGAAGGAAAAATATTTGCTGTTTAATGGGCCAAGTTTTAGTTATTTGGAAATTTCACCAATGTGGAAAGACACAAATTCTGATAATTACAGATAATTTAATTTAAACTAGAAATGTTTAAACTTTTAAAAATTTCTCTAGCATTAAAAAGAGTAATATTTTTAACAACCCTAAGAAACTGTTCTCTAAAATAGGTTTGCAGAGAAACAGATATATTGATACACACATCAAGTAAGCCTTCTCTGTCTCACAAGATTTACTCCAAATTATTCTGTTAGTAATATAAATTCTAATATCAGCAACAGGAAATTGAAAGTTAAAAAGAGAAAGAATGCAATAAGTAATTCACCTTTGCACTACAGTTCTCAGGACTAGAATGACATGAGCTGAGCTGCAGAAATGATGGGGATGGGGATGGTGACGGCTGTCTCTGTTCCTCTTTTTTTCGTTCATAAACTCGAACTCGGGCACAAGTCATCATACTTTCAAAGTACAAGTAGACGGGATCCTTGTCTTCTTCCCGAATCTGTAAGTTTCATACAATGAAATATTCCAAATATTGGGATTGGAGTGGGGAGCCTCCTATACTTCAAAAGGCAAAGGATGTTTAATTTTTCTTATCACAACACTTGAAATTTTTTAATGCAAATTTTAAAGTTAAATAGTATAAATATAGTTCATATGTGCCGAAACTCAGGGCAATCAGAAAGGAAGGAATTCTCTATCAAGAAATTTCAGAGAGAAACCAAGATGGTGGCCAAGGTAAACAACTAATCTGCCGCCTCACACAACAATTTAAAAACTACACTTAAAAGACAAAACGTCTATCACCCAGAACCACGAGAAAGCTGGCTGAATGGAGCACAAGTGCTGAAAAGCTGAGGTACGGAGGCATGGGAATCGGATTGGTGGTGGGTGACTGGGCGCATGGCTTTATTTCAACCCAAAGGGAAACAAATTGAAGATCACTTTGAAATCCAGTTTCTGGGGACCCAGATGCCTACGGGGAGAAGCTGGTCTGTCAGCCATTGGGTCCAAAAGTGAGGGTGACTTTTTTGCAAAGGTGCGTGCAGCAATCATTGTTTGCTGCACTGGAGCACGGGGACTTGGAAATGCAGAAAGGCAGAGAGGGCTAAAGACAGTCATCGCTGTTTTCCACACCCCAGCCTAGTGACATCCTGAGCCTCCGCTCGGCCCTCAGGCCCCGCCCGCACACATTCTACAAACCAGCCCTGGCTCCACACAAAGCAGCTTTTGCATATAAATGGCCTGCTCTCTGGCAAAATAACGAAATAAACTGCAGCTCCAGTCAGACTGCTCCAAAACTGCCAAATCCGAAGCAAAGAGGAGAAAACTGTAGTTCCTGCTGTAGCTCCTGCTGGGTGGCCTCAGCCAGTAGCTGACATGCACTCCATTGGAGATCCAGAAACTAGTGTATCTAGTGGTCAGTGTGGGATGATACCAGATTTCAACTACTCTCATAAGGGACACATTCAAGAGGCAGATTCAGTGAACACCAAAGCCTTACTGGAACAAGTCCTGCCCCATAAACGTATTTCCAGCATAGCAATTCTTCCATTATAGACACAGAGGGTCCTCACAGCCAATTGGCCTGGAGGTCAGTTCCTCCCAGTGATACCAACAATAATCAAGACTTAACTACAACAAGGCTCTACACACAGTCCACAAAGGGGTGCACCAAGAGTGTCCACCTCAGGTAACTGGGAGGCTGACCCATTGAACCATATAGGACACCTTAGCACACAAAGCTACCCTACCAACTCAGGGAAGCAGCAAAAATTAGGAAACAGAGAAAAGGATCACAAACGAAGGAAATGGAGGGGAACAAATGACTGGACATAGAGTTCAAAACCACAGTCATAAGGTTTTTCAAGAATGTCCTAGAAAAGGCTGATAAATTTAACGAGATCCTCAAGGACCAACTAGAAATTAAACATAGACTGACTGAAATAAAAAATATTATACAGAGATCCAACAGCAGACTAGAGGAACACAAGAATCAACTCAAAGATTTGGTATACAAAAAGGCAAAGGACACTCCTCCGGAGAAGCAGAAAAAAAAAAATAGTGTAAGAAGGAAGTTGAAGATAGTGTAAGAAGCCTCTGGGACAACTTCAAGAATTATGGGGGTGCCAGAAGAAGAGAATGAGCAAGATACTGAAAAGCTATTTGAAGAAATAATGACAGAAAACTTCCCCCACCTGGTTAAAGAAATAAACTTACAAGTCCAGGAAGCACACAGAACCCCAAACAAAAGAAATCCAAAGAGGACCACCCCAAGACACATCATAATTAAAATGCCAAGGGCAAAAGACAAAGAGAGAATCTTAAAAGCAGCAAGAGAAAAACAGTTAGTTACCTACAAGGGAACACCCATATGATTATCAGCTGACTTCTCAACAGAAACTATGCAGGCCAGATGGGAGTGGCAAGAAATATTCAAAGTGATGAATAGCAAGAACCTACAATCAAGATTACTCTACCCAGAAAAGTTATCATTCAGAATTGAAGGCCAGATAAAGAGCTTCACAGATAAGAAAAAGCTAAAGGAGTTCATCACCACCAAACCAGTATTATATGAAATGCTAAAAGGTGTACTTTAAAAAAGAGGAAGAAGAAGAAAAAGGTAGAGATAAAAACTATGAACAAATACATATCTATCAACAAGTGAATCTAAAAGTCAAGTGAATTAAAAATCTGCGGAACAGAATAAACTAATGAATATAACAGAATCAAGGGCATAAAATGCTAGGGGATTAATAATTCTCAGGGGGAAAGAGGTATCTGAGTGGAGGGTATGGGAAGAGACTGGACAAAAATCATACACCTATGGATGAGGACAGTGGGGTGAGGGGGGAGGTAAGGACAGAGGGTGAGGTGGGGACCAGGTGGAGGAGAGCTATGGGGTGAAAAAAGGAGAAACAATTGTAATAATCTGAACAATAAATTTTTATTAAATTAAAAAAAAATTCTGATCATCTTGACTGGAGTGGCTCAGTGGTTGAGTGTCGACTTATGAACCAGGAGGTCACAGCCCAATTCCTGGTCAGGGAACATGCCCGGTTTGCAGGCTAAATTTCCAGTGGGGGAAGTGCAGGAGGTAGCCAATCATATATTCTCTTTCATCAGAGATGTTTATATCTCTTTCTCCCTATCCTTCAGATAATATCGGTGTTTCTCAAATGATCTGTGGTAAACTACATTTCTTAATTAATAGTCTAACATAGACGAATACTTTTGTAAAATACAAAAGCAATTACTAGAAAAAAGCAAAATAGTAATTAGAAAAACAAAGGCCAAAATATAAGCACAAGTTTTGCATTATTAGATTTAATAGATCTCTATCCACTTGCTATAAAAGTTTCTAAATTTTACTCTTATTTTCTATATGTACTTATTTTATCACAATCTGGTTAACAGATTTTGATCAGCACTGGTACAGAGACCCACTGAAGGGCACTGCACTAAAAGTTCTTTCTCCAATTTAATGGACTGTGGAGGGTGAAATGAATTTAGTAATCAGGAATGCTTATCAGTTCTTTTACCGTTCGTCTTCGTACAGTCATATTACAATCACTGTTATTTGGAATCTTGAACTTTACTGTTATTACTATATGTAAAAAAATTTGTTTTAAGAAAATCTTACTTTTTTTTTTTTTGCCGAAACCGGTTTGGCTCAGTGGTAGAGCGTCAGTCTGCGGACTGAAAGGTCCCGGGTTCGATTCCGGTCAAGGGCATGTACCTTGGTTGCGGGCACATCCCCAGTAGGGGTTGTGCAAGAGGCAACTGGTCGATGTTTCTCTCTCATCGACGTTTCTAGCTCTCTCTCTCTTTCCCCCTTCCTCTCTGTAAAAAATCAATAAAATATACTTAATAAAAAAAAAAAATCTTACTTTTTTAAGCTTTTTCTTAATGGTTTTCTAACAGTAACATGTACTACTTCTCAATTACTCAATATACTATACTATAGGAATAAGATATGTTAAACAGAATTTTGCAAGTCAGGTTTTCAGAAAGCCTATCTTTATACAATCTTCCTAAAGAAAATATTTGGTGATATTTAAGAATTACACTAGTAACCTCTTTTATGACATTTTTATTTTATTTTTAATATATTTTACTTATTTTTTATAGAGAGGAATAGAAAGCTAGAAACATCGATGAGAGAGAAACATCGACCAGCTGCCTCCTGCACACTTCCCACTGGGGATGTGCCCGCAACCAATGTACGTGCCCTTGACCGGAATCGAACCTGGGACCCCTCAATCCACAGGCTGACGCTCTATCCACTAAACCAAACCGGTATCAGCTCTTTTGTGACATTTTAAAGTGCCAGCAACTAAACCAATTAAATCAGAAAGGAGATGGCTTATAGGCAAATTACCTGAAAGTAAAATGATTCATAGAATATAAACCAAAAATTTGGTTTAGACAGTAGTCGGCAAACTCATTAGTCAACAGAGCCAAATATCAACAGTACAATGATTGAAATGTCTTTTGACTAAATTTAAAAACTTTTTCTAACACCATTTCGTGGTATTTTGTAGAAGAGCCACATCAAGGGGCCTTAGAGCCACATGTGGCTCGCGAACCACAGTTTACCCACCACGGGTTTAGGGATGAGCAAAACAGAAAAGAAATAACTCATAGACACAGACAACAGTGTAGTGATTGTGGAGAGTATGGCAGGAAGTCGAGGAAGGTATAGAGAGGGATAAATGAAAATGGGGGTAAATAAAAATAAAAAGGAAAATAATTTTTAAAAATTGGTTGAAATCCATCATCTTTACAAATGATATTTGCAACCTGCAATAAAAGATAAAACTCCACTTACCACAGGATTAGGTTTGGGAGTATATGTCCGTGCAGGTTTAATTCCAGTGAGCAGTTTGCCCTTCACAGTAGTAGATGAAACTTCTGGCTGAGGCAACAACAATGGTTTTGTAGGCTCAATGACAGAAGGCGTCGGGATATAAACTGGTTCTGGATCTACTTCACCTTCTACCTTCACCCATAATGGATAATGTCGAACAGGCTGTTCAGGCTCTGTCTCACATATAGCTTAACAAAAGGAAGCATAACGTTTTATTTAAAATAAAAAAAATTTATATTTATTTCAGAGAGGAATGGAAAGGGAGAGATAGAAACATTAATGATGAGAGAGAATCATTGATAGTCTGCCTTCTGCACACCCTCCTACTGGGTATTGAGCCCACAACCTGGGTATGTGCCCTTGCCCAGAATCGAACCCAAGACCTTTCAGTCCACAGGCCAATGCTCTATCCACTGAGCCAAATCGGCTAGAGCAGTAAGCATCTAAAATCTTAGATATCTTTGGCAACAAAAGTTCAATGAGGCATTGCCAATGTAAAATATGCTCCCCCTCATAAAAAGCAGTTAACTCATTAAAACAAACAGCCCTAAGCCAGTTTGGCTCAATGGATAGAGCATCAACCTGTAGACTGAAGCGTCCAGACTTGATTCTGGTCAAGGACACATGCCCTGGTTGCAGGTTTGATCCCCAGTAGGTGGTGTGCAGGGGGCAGCTAATCAATGATTATCTCATCTATCATGTTTCTCTCTCTCTCTCTCTCTCTCTCTCCCCCCCCCCCCTCTGAAATCAAGAATATATATATTTTTTAAAGTCAAACAGATACCCCCTAAAAAACCTTTATTTGCCCTCATGCACCTTAATCTAGTCATCATTTAACAAAATATGTGTTGAATATTATAAATCAGATGCTGTTTTATGCACCAAATGAATACAGCTTTGAATAAAACAAAGTACTTGCCCTAACAGTTATAATTCAGTAGGGGAAAACAAACTGACAAACATTTAATATCAAATCATAAGTGCCATGTAGAAAAATGTAGCAAGTTAAGGAAAAATGTAGCAAGTTAATGAGGAGTTAACAGGAGATGCTATTATATTTAGTCGAGTCAGAAAAAGCCTTCTTTATAATCCAAGAAAGATAACCATTACATACTACACTTTTTTAAATCTTTTTTTTTAATGTATTTTTTACTGATTTTTTACAGAGAGGAAGGGAGAGAGAGAGCTAGAAACGTCGGATGAGAGAGAAACATCGACCAGCTGCCTCCTGCACACCTCCCACCAGGGATGTGCCCGCAACCAATGTACATGCCCTTGACCAGAATCGAACCTGGGACCTTTCAGTCTGCAGACCGACGCTCTACAGCTGAGCCAAACCAGTTTTGGCCACTTTTTAAAAATCTTACAACAAATATTTATTGACCTTACTATGTTCAAACTCTGCGAATTTAATTATGTTTTAACTCATTGAACTGTCACATCAGTCCTTGAGATATTATTATTCCCATTTTTGCAGAAGCTGAGATTCACTACAGGAAGAGACAGATCAAGGATAAAACCCAGTCAATCTGGTTCCAGAAACTGAGCTTTCTATTGCCTTTGATGTTAAACTGTATTCAAAAGATAGCCTGGCCCTAGCCAGTTTGCTCAGTGCTTAAAGTGTGGGCCCCCATGAACTGAAGGTCGTGGGTTCAATTCCAATCAAGGGCACATACCTGGGTTGCAGGTTTGATACCTGGTCCAGTCAGGGCATGTGCAGGAGGCAACCAATCAATGTGTCTCTTTCACATCGATGTTACACTCTCTCTCTCTGTCTCTCCCTCTCCCTTCCACTCTCTCAAAAAATAAATGGGGGGGGGGGGGAATTCTCAGGCCCAAGACAGTTTTGCTCAGTGGATAGAGTATCGGCCTGAAAACTGAAAGGTCCCAGATTCAATTCCGATCAAGGGCACATGCCAGGGCTGTGAGCTTGATCTCCAGGGGGGACTTGCAGAAGGCAGCTGATCCATGATTCTCTCTCATCATGGATGTTTCTATCTCTCTCTCCCTCTTCCTTCCTCTCTGAAATCAATAAAAATATATTTTTAAATATATATATTCTCAGGTGAGAATTAACAAAAAGAAAGCCTGAACTCAGCATAGGAGCAAAAAAAAAAAAAAAAAAATCAATAAAAAGGCAATGAAACCCAACAGAGATAAAATCATACTATCAAGAAGTTCTACACACAAAGGAAAACAAAATGAGGATCTAGGTTAAGAGGCTTTATTATTTAAGCAAACTAACTATCCAAGAAAAAAGACAACTACAGAGGAGCAAACATTGTATTTTGCATTTTAATAGCCAATCCTCAGAGAGGATGTAGCTGGTTCTAAGCCAAAAATCCAAAAATCTTTGCCTAAAATTATATAATATGTGAATGACCAGCATTCCCAGTTACTTCAAATAATCCTATATAATAAAGGCCTAATATACAAATTGATCGATCAGCAGAACTACTGGTTGGCAGGGGGCAGGGCAGGCAAGCAGGTGGCACCAGGCCAGTCAAGGTGAGTGCCAGCTGACAGCAGGAGGGGGGGTGATCAGGGGGCAGCAGCTACCAGGTGCCATCCCCCAATCTGCCCCATCACCCGAAAGGTCACCTCCTGCAGAGCAAGTTCAATCTCTCACTATAATGTGCACTGACCACCAGACCTATGGGGAGCGGGCCTAAGAGCAGTCTGGCCTTCCTCTACAGGAGGCGACCAGGATGATCAGGGAAAGACACTGCCCCTATCAACCCCCTGCTCTGAGCCCCAGGCCTCGCAGCCACCGGGTCTCACAACTGCTGAGCATACTGTTTGCCTGAGCCCCAGGCCTCGCAGTGCCTGGGCCCACAGCTCCCTGCCTTCAGCCCTCACAGCCACCACGGCTTTGCCCGGAAGGACGAAGAATGTCCAGAAGACATCCGCTCTAATTAGCATATTACCCTTTTATTAGTATAGAAGATAAACCTAAATAAAGCTGAGGGAGAGAATATAATGAATTATACTGATCATCTATATATAAAAAGAACACTGAGGTTGGAGTTCTAAGAGAAAGACACAGAAAAACAAAGTGTCAAAGGCATTCTGGGAGTCCACATAAAATACTGATTCAAATTTCGCATACAAAAAAAGCCATCTTTTGTCATTGAAAAAAAGCGTGTATGTAGCATATATGCCATACAGAAAGAGCATTTAAGGATGGTAAGAATTTCTCAAAATTCTTATTAGATCATAGATCAGTATTAAAGAAATACTAATACTACTTGAAATAGGTTTTCAAACCATACTTTTCTAAAAAAAATTATACTATACCGTTTTAAGTCTTATTACTCACTGTATTCCAGCTTCTTTCTCTTCTTTTTCTCTTTTAATTGTTCTTCCTCCTCTTTGACTCCCTCCACTTCTTCCCTTTGCTCATCTCCCAAAGTATCATAACATACTGTATCATGATGAGCAGTCTTCCTCTGCAAATGCTTAGTTTTGGATCCCCCTTTTACAAGGACAACTTTTCTTTTCAAACAAGTGCAGCCAAACATGCAGTCTGGTCGGCGGCAGTGAGCAGGCTGGCGCTTCTCCAAAGCTAGACTGGAACATATGCAACCCAATCGACAAAAATCATTGTTGCATGGAGGCGCCCGCTTCCTTATGATTGTGTGGATGGGTTTAGTTTTGAGAGATGCCTAAAGTGAAAGCAGAAAATTGTAAATCTACTAAATCATTCCCCAGGACCACCACCAACCTACAGTCATATGCTGGTCTGCCTTCTTCTGTGTGTGAGCACTCAATACTACGATTACAAGATTAGGGCCAATTCAAATGACAGGACATGAATTTAACAGAACTCAGAGCAATCTTCCATTCCAATGCATAGCACAGGCAAGCAAGAGAATATTTTAATTATGAGCCAAATTAGCAACAAAGATGAATTTATCATCAATAGAAATCACACATAATGTTCTAGGTCAGAGGTTGACAACTTAAGACGCAATGACCAAATCCAATTTGTTTCATAAATAAAGTTTCATTGGAACACAACCAGGCTTATTCATTTAAATAATGTCCATGGCATTACAACAGCAGGGTTGAGAAACTACAATTGAGTACATGGCCCACAAAGCCTAAAATATATACTTTTTTTAAATAAAAATATAAAAATTACCTAATCTATGATAATACATAAAAAAGGAATAACATACCTGCATAAAAGTCTTTAGAAATGATTAATAATAAAGGACACTTTATTTAGTCCCAACAACTCTAGAAGAGTCACAGAATTTAAAAAGGGGAAGATACAGAAATTTCATGACAAGAAAATTATCTTCATTTTCTTGGGTCATTTTACATTAACAGAAGCTAAGATAGGTGAAGCAATAACAAATAACAATTCTTAATATAAAATTTTAGCCTGGGCTGGTGTGGTTCAGTTGGTTGGAGTGTTGTCCCCTGCAACAAAGGGTATGGTTTTGATTCCTAATCAGAACACATACCCAGGCTTCAAGTTTGATCCCCAGTTGGTGCACCTATAGGAGGTAACCAATCAATGTTTCTCTCTCACCTCTCTCACCTCTCTCTCTCTCTGGTAACCAATGTTTCTCTCTCACTTCCCCCCATCTCTCCCCCCCCCTTCTCTCTCTCTCTTTCTAAAATCAATAAAAAACATATCATCAGGTGAAGAATTAAAAAATGTTTTTTTGAGACAAAAGCTTTTTCTACATAGGTTTATAATTTTTTTTGGATTTAGGGGGATTTAGTACCTTTTAAGCAGAATTTTCAAAGCTATTTTAAAAAGATCAGCAAATATACTTGCCCAGATACTAGAGAATAAAATTAGAGACTTTCAGAATGGTCAGTTGCCTTTATAAAGAAAAGGAATATTATCCAAAAACACAAATGTACTGCTTCCTATGCAACAACAGGGATCTACACATAAGTATCTAGTTGATAAAAAAGAAAAGTAGAAGACACCTCCTTGTCACTAAACTAAATGCCCAAGCCTCCTGCTAAAAAACCCCATTCCTTTTATTAACGTAACTTTTTACAGCCAAAAATATGCTTCTGGAGAACAACAGATAACTTACTTGAGCTGTAAGCAGAGTTGTTAAAGACACATCTGCTCGCTCTGCGGTGATATAGGTCCTTGGTTTTCCTTCCCAAAGGGCACAGTCTTCCAGGTCCATTAGCTTCATTTGAGACTTAGACAAGCCTGGAGGGCGAGTTCCCTGTGGCTGCGGCTGCTGGTGGTGTGCCTGTCGCAAATTAATTTGCTTTGGGAATGTATTTTCATCTAAAGTTGGCACAACAAAGTTATTCTCCTGATTTTCTGAGTTGGTGCCTGAAGAATTCTTGCTAACCTTGTCTCCTGGAACAGTATGAGTGTGCTTCTGCTTTAGTGACGCAGGGTGTGGCAAAATGGATTTATAAGATGATTTGCTTCGTCCACTGCAAGTTGCCTGTTTGTTTTGAGACTTTGCCTTTCGAGATGCAGGTGATACAGAATGAGGCTTTATAGAATAAGAGGTAGAAGGGGAAGGGGTTGATTGCTTCTTTAGTACACTATCAAGTGTTCGTACGTAGCTTGTACTCTTAGTGGGAAGCTGGTATACAACAGGAGATGTGGGAGCATTAGAAGAGAAACCCATGCTTGTTTCCATCAGCTTGCCTTCGTTTTCCAAGTATTCATCCAGCTTATCACTGCAGAAAGCAGAACGGTTTTTCAGTGGACCTTCTGAATTTCCACCTAGAAATAAGAAGACATAGAAACTTGAAGAAATCTAGAACAGATCTTCAGATCTCTAAAAAGAAAGGTCAGGAATCCCTCCTAAGAAGACAAAGATATAATATAAAACCAAGTAAAGAGATTAAATGTCGCACAAAAATTATATTAAAATCAAATCTCTAAAATTGAGAGGATCCAAGATGGCTGCACAGGTAAACACCTTACCGCAGCCGCACACAACTATTTCAATAAAATACAACTAAAATATAAAATGGACATTGCCCAGAGCTACAGGAAAGTCGACTGACTGGAAATTCTACAACAAGAAGGAAAGAGAAAACCAGAAGGAAAATCAGAGGAGCTGTAAAAGCCTAAGGTATGGAGACACACTGCGTGCAGAGAGGAAGTAGCCGGAGAGGAGGGGGAGGCTGAGTGCTTGGCTGGCGTTCCCTAGCAGGAAGGAGATAAAAGCAAAAGACACAGAGAGAATATTAAAAGCAGCAAGAGAAAAACAGTTACCTACAAAGGAGTACCCATACGATTGTCAGCTGATTTCTCAACAGAAACCATGCAGGCCAGACAGGAATGGCAAGAAATATTCAAGGTGATGAATAGCAAGAACATACAGCCAAAAATACTCTACCCAGCAAAGCTATCACTCAGAATCGAAGGCCAGATAAAGAGCTTCACTAATAAATAAATAAAAAAGCTAAAGGAGTTTACCACCACCAAACCAGAATTAAATGAATAGCTGAAGGGGGTTCTTTAGGAAGAGGAAGAAGATAAAAAATTATAAACAACAAATACGTAACTATCAACAAGTGAATCTAAAAACTAAGGAATTAAAAAAAAATCTGATGAACAATATTAACTGGTGAATATAATAGAATCAGAGGTATGGAAGGGGAGTGAACTGACGATTCTCGGGGAAAAGGGGAGAGGGGGGTGCGGGAAGAGACAACATAAACTGTGCACCTACGGATGAGGACAATGGGGGTGGGGAAAGGGCAGAGGGTGGGGTGGGAACCTGGTGGAGGGGGGCAATGGAGGGGGGGAATGAGGAACATTTGTAATAATATGAACAATAAAGATTTATTAAAAGAAAGAAAGAAAGAAAGAAAGAAAGAAAGAAAGAAAGAAAGAAAGAAAGAAAGAAAGAAAGAAAAGCTAAAGGAGTTCATCACTGCCAAACCATTAGTATATGAAATGCTGACAGGTATTCTTGAAGAAGATGAAGAAGGTGAAGAACGAGGAGGAGGAGGAGGAGATAAAAATTATGAACAAATACATATCAACATGTGAATCTAAAAGTTAAGTGAATTAAAAATCCGAGGAACAGAATAAACTGGTGAATATAATAGAATCAAGGGCATAAAATGGTAGGGGATTGTTAATTCTCAGTGGGAAAGGGGTGTCTGAGTGGGGGGTATCAGAAGAGACTGGACAAAAATCATACGCCTATCGATGAGGACAGTGAGGGGGGATAAGGGTAGACGGTGGGGTTGGAACCGGGTGGAGAAGAGCTATGGGGGGAAAAAGAGCAACAACTGTAACAATCTGAACAATAGATTTATTTTAAAATAAAAGGTTACAGTATCACCCCGAGTACTGAAGAGTAGCAGTAGCTGGTTTGATTCCTGGTCAAGGGCTCATACCTATGTTGTAGGTTTGATCCCCAATCCCAGTCAGGCTGCATTCGAGAAGCAACTAATCAATATGTCTCTCTACATGGATGTTTCTCTCCCTATCTCCCCCCCCCCCCTCTCTCTCTCTCTCTCATCCCCTTCCTTACCTCCCTTCCATTCTTTCTAAAACATCAATGGAAAAAATAGCCTTGGGTGAGAATTTGGTAGAGAGCACTATTACAGCACTATAAAAAGATTCAAAGATAAAAAAATTTATTTTGAACAAATAAATTTATCTGGTTAGACTCTAACCGTTAGAGGGTAAACTGCCAACTAGTGAATTGGGAAAAGAAAATCAATAGGGAATACAGTAAATATACTTGGATTAGAAGTTTACTTTGAAGTATAATGCTATTAGGAATCACTATACATTCTGAAGTATATAGTTCTGAAATAATGCTTGAAAATTATGCTTTTTATAACTGTGAGAATAATAGAAAGAAAGAGCAGTTAAAGCCCTAACTGGTTTGGCTCAGTAGAGCGTCAGCCTGCGAACTGAAGGGTCCCAAGTTTGATTCCAATCAAGGGCATGCACCTTGATTGCGGGCACATCCCCAGTAGGAGGTGTGCAAGAGGCAGCTGATCAATGTTTCTCTCTCACTGATGTTTCTAGCTCTCTATCCCTTTCCCTTCCTCTCTGTAAAAAAAAAAAATCAATAAAATATATTTTTTTTAAAAAGAGGAAGGAGAGAGGGTGGGAAGAAGGGAAGAAGGAGGGAAGGAGGGAAGGAAGGGCAGTTTAAAAAGGCTGCAAGTATTATTTAAGCCTGATGTGGTTAGGGACTGATCCCCAGGATCAGATTCATGGGAACAAGGAGAATAAACAAATATCAGCAAGACAATTATTTTCAATTTATTTTAAAGCATGAAGAGAGATGAAGAAAAATAACAAAGACTTACTTTTAACAAAAGCTGTGCTTGCATGTTTCAGAACATTATTTGTAGTTTTTTTAAAAAGCTGATTACCTTCATTCCTAGATGCAGAAGCTCCATGAAACTTTCCCCTCCATCCCTTTATCTTGGTGAAGTCATTGGTCTTTCCTGTTCTAGATACAAAGGGAAATCCAGCATCTATAAAAGAAAAAATAAGAGATGAAAAATCTTAGTAAGTCAATATTTAATATCTAGCTAATTATTAAGACTTTATAAGAAAAAGTATAAATCATTAAGACTATGCCATTAGACAAAAAATCTATCCTAAACTATCCGAAACATACTTTGTCTCTAACAAAGGTATCTTTTCATTTATATTCACAAATTTGTTTGACTTCATAAAAGCAATGCACTCACCAGGAGAAGCAGGGTTGGTTCCTGTAAGGTTCCAGAAAGGAAAGCTAGTGGCTGGAGCCAAAGGTAGCTGTACTCCCAAGTATTTAAGATCAATACTCATTGTAGGATCCACTGAATTCAATTTTAAGCCCACTACAAGAGAAAAAGGACCGCAAATCATATTGGAGTTTTTTAACCTTTGGGGGGGAGAGGGGGTAAGGGGAAAATAAAGTACAGAGTAAAATGATAAAATAAAAATTTTTAATGGCAAAGAGACTTTAAGGTGACCACGTAATCTTCATCTCCTGGTATTATATACAATATTTGTATAATCCTCCTCTCTTCTTGAGTATAGGCAGAGCGTCTGATTTGTTTCCAAGCAATGGAATGTGCCAAAGGGATGAGATATTCATGATTATATATATATGTAATAAAAGAAGAATAAATGGATCACCCATTTTGCTAGAACTGCAAGGATATAAATTCTGCCCAACAACCTCAGGAAAACTGGAAAAATCCCTCCCCAGTCAAGCCTCTAATGAGAAACCAGGCCTAATTTTTTATTATAATCTTGTGAGACCCTAAGCAGAGGACCTTGTTAAGCCATGCCAGATTTCTGACCTACTGAAACTATGAGATAATAAACATACTGTTTTAAGGTGCTAAGTTTATGGTAATTTGCTAAGCAGTAATAGATAACTGATACAAAAATATAGCAGAATTCAGATCTCTTGTGCTTTTAACCTTCTGAGTTCCAGATACTTTCTAGGACCTCTAATACAAACTTCCCATAGACAGAGGTTATTCCCTATTTATGGCTACTACTTTTCTAGTTATTATTAATTATATTTATATTTAATTGAGACTACAGATATTATAACTTATTTGTAGGTTAACAGGCAATCTTTTGGTAAAGTAGTTATTTTACATATACTTTTACCCATTTTTGCTTAATAATTTACATCTAAGATTTGTCCATGTTGACACATTTATCTCTCAATCATTTATTTTCACTGTTATACACTACTCCAGATTACAAAATATACTCCAATTTATTCACCATTCTTCTGTCAATGAGATAGTTGTTTCCTATTTTTAACTATTATAAACAATGCTACAGTATAATTGTGCATCTTCTACAAGGATATACATCACACATGTGACCATGTATGAAAGCTTTTCTCTAATGTATTTAGCTTTTCCTTATGCCATTTCACCAGAAGAAGAGATGCTATGTAATAGCATAAGTTGGTCTTTCAATTGTATTAAATGTTTGGCATATTTGTGGTTGCCCAATATATTTTCAACACCTTTCCTATACAGCTGCTCCTTTTCCCCACTATAACTCCTACCTCTTTAAGGCAGGTATTAGAAAAACTACTTTCCAACTTCTCTCTCTTTAAAAAATATATTTTTATTGATTTCAGAGAGAGAAAGGGAGAAACAGAAATTTCAATTATGAGAGCCTTCTGCACACCTCCTATTGGAGATCAGCATGCAACCCAGGCATGTGCCCTGACTGGGAATCAAACCAGTGACCTCCTGGTTCATAGGTCGACACTCAACCATTCAGCCATGCCAGCAGGGCCTTTCCAACTTCTCATGAAGTTTATGTGCAGACATGAGACATGGGTTTTGCTAATCAGATGCATCCATAAAAGACTTCAATTTAAAAGAGAAGACCATAAGAAAAGAAATACTGTGTAAAATTATGTAAATAAGAGTGACAGTTTTTAGCCAAAGAAAAACTTTTAGAGATAAAAGTAACCAAGATCCTAGCTGTGTTCAGTGTCCACATTGACAATGGTGGTGGTGACTGTCCAATGTTGTGAGACTGCTTTTGTGAAAAGACTGGGAATGTAATTTGAGTATTTTTTTCAACTACATATTCGTACAATCTGTTTCTCTGGCCTCTCAGGAGATTCTGTAAGTCATCTGATATTCTTTAATAAATTCATATTCTATACCGTGTTCATGGATTGGTAGAATCAAAATCATTATAATGTCCATACTACCCAAAGCAATCTATAGATAAATTCAATGCAATCCCCATTAAAATACAATGGCATATTTCACAGACCTAGAACAACTCTCCAAAAATTCATATGGAGTAAAAAAAGACTCCGAATTGCCACTGCAATCCTGAGAAAGAAGAACAAAGTTGGAAGGATCACAATACCAGATATCAAGCTATATTATGCTGAAAACCAATTCCAGCATGTCATAATTTCAAGAGTTTCATCAAAAGGTTGATGGAATTTGGGGACTCAAAAGGGCTGATTACATATGTTACTGATCGTTGGAAATGGCTAAAGGCATTTCCCCAAACTTGAAAAGGATGCATTAAATTGATTGCTTGTTGCCAAATAGCTCAGAGCATCTTAATCTACATGTTATTGCCTCCTACTGGCCAAACACCTGAACAGCTAAAGGCTATCCCCAATCTGACAATGGACACTGTAGACAAAATCCTACTCTTTGAAGTGTATATCTCTACCTTGCCTTGGACAAATTGTGTTAATAAAAAGAAAGGGGCCCTAAGACAAGGAGAACTTCGTTTCTTTAGCTAGGCTCCTCTGACCTCCAATGCCTTTCAAAATTATTTTGACTCTTCAGTTACACACAGCCTTTCTCCAGACTGCTGAGTCCTTCTTAATGCCAGAACAAGACTCCCGGCAATATTACAAAGCCACTATTGTCAAAACTGCCTGGTACTTGCACAAGAACAGACATACAGACAAATGGAATAGAACAGAGAACCCACAAACTGACCCAAGCCATTGTGCTCAATTAATATTTGACAAAGGAGGTAGGTAACATACACTGGAGTCAAGATAGTCTCTTCAATAAATAAAAAGTCTCTTCAAGATAGTCTCTTCAATAAATGGTGTTGGGAAAATTGGACAGATACATGCAAAAAAATGAAACTAGACCACCAACTTATACCATACTCAAAAATAAACTCAAAATGGATAAAGGACTTGAACGTAAGGTGGGAAACCCAAAAAAATCTTAGAAGAATCCACAGGCAGCAAAATATCAGACATATGTTGTAGCGATATCTTTACTGATACAGCTCCTAGGACAATGAAAACTAAGGAAAAATAAACAAATGGGACTATATCAAAATGAAAAGCTTCTGCACAGCAAAAGAAACCATCAACAAAACAACAAGAGAGCCCACTGCATGGAGAATATATTTGCCAATGTTATGTCCAATAAGGGTTTAATCTATAGGAACTCATACATCTTAACAAAGGAAGATAAACAATCCAATAAAAAAATGGACAAATGACCTAAATAGACAACTTGTTGAAAGAGGACATACAGAAGGCCAAGAGACAAGAAAACATACTCAAAGACAGTAATCATCAGAGAGATGTAAATCAAAACGACTATGAGGTACCATCTCACACCTGTCAGAATGGCTACCATCAACAAATCAACAAACGACAAGTGCTAGCAAGGATGTGGAGAAAAAGGAACTCTCGTGTACTGCTGCTGGGAATGCAGACTGGTGCAGCCTCTGTGGAGAACAGTATGGAGTTTCCTCAAAAAACAAAAAATGGAATTGCCATTTGACCCAGTAATCTCACTTCTAGGAATATATCCCAAGAAATCACAAAGGATATATACCCTGTTCCCCCGAAAATAAGACAGTGTCTTATATTAATTTTTGCTCCCAAAGATGCGCTAGGTCTTATTTTCAGGGGATGTCTTATTTTTCCATGAAGAAGAATATGGTACACATTCATTGTTAAATGAAAATAAAGGAAATTTATTACCTGTATACAGTAGTTGTCAACACAAACCAGACATACTGTGAATCCTACAGTATCAAGAGTTTACTCATTTATTCAATGACAATCATGTCATCATCTTCTAGAACATCATCATAACAATCCAATTCCTGAATTTCCTGGTGAATTTCTTGTGACTCCGTTTCTTTCAGAATCAGTGGACCAAATCTCTCATGTTTAGCCTAGGGGGGGGGGGGCTTATTTTTGGGGGGATGCCTTATATTTCACTCAGAAGGAAACCTGTAAGTAGGTCTTATTTTCAGTGGATGTCTTATTTTCGGGGAAACATGGTATGCACCCCTATGTTTATAGCAACATAATTTACAATAGCTAAGATTTGAAAACAGCCTAATTGCCCATCAGCAAATGAGTGAATTAAAAAACTGTGGGACATCTACACAATGGAATATGTACTGCTGTAAATAAGAAAGACTTCTTACCATTTGCAACAGCATAGATGAACATTAAGAGCATTGTGCTAAGCTAAGTCAGTCGGAGAAAGATAAATACCACATGATCTTACTCAGTTGTGTAATATAATGAACAACATAAACTGATGAACAAAAACAGATCCAGAAACAGAGGCATCAAACAGATCATCAAACCTCAGAGGGAAGGCAGTTGAGGAATGGGTGGGTAAGATATCAACCAAAGAACTTCTATGCATGCATATAAGCATAACCAATGGACACCAACACTAGGGGGGTGAGGGCATGTGCTGGGAGGGTGGGAGGGTCCAGGGAAAGGTGAATGGGGAGGAAAGGAGACATTTGTAATACTTTAAACAATAAAGAATTTAAAAAATAATAAAATAAATTCATATTCTATTTCATTTGTAGAGTGGATTCTGATGTTTGCAACCAAGAATTCTAATTTAAAGTAATTAAAGGGCATATAAGAAAATGATAATTATGTAACAAACTGGAATAAACAAGGCAACCAAAGGCTGGAGCCAACCAGCTCTATACCTAATAATTTCCCTTGGTCTTGACTGGCCACCCTAAGTATATTAAGAGCATACCTGCCCTTTGCTGAAACCGGATTGGCTCAATGTATAGAGCGTTGGCCTGCGAACTGAAAGGTCCCGAGTTGAATTCCGGTCAAGGGCATGTACCCTGGTTGCAGGCGCATCCCCAGTAGGGGGTGTGCAAGAGGCAGCTGATCGATGATTCTCTCTCATCGATGTTTCTAACTCTCTATCCCTCTCTCTTCCTCTCTGTAAAAAAATCAATAAAATATATTTTAAAAAAAATAAAAAGAGCATACCTGCCCTAGCCAGTATGGCTAAGTGGATAGAGCACCAGCCTGTGGACTGAAGGGTCCTGGGTTCAATTCCGATCAAGGGTACATGCC